AGAGGACCAGATGTTTGTTGAGCTGGAGCCATTTGTATTTCCTGCCCAGGCTTTGGATGAAGAGTACCTCAAGGTGGACGCGCAGTTCGGAGGAGTCGACCAGAGGAAGATCTTCACGTTCGCCGAAAAGGTGGACAAGACTCCGCTGGCGTTTTTACTTTTTCTTCCTCTTAGCGATTCGTTCGAATCGGTGATCGAGTGAGTACCGCGTTGTGGGGAAGAGTTTGCGGTATGTCACGAGTTAGACTCCTGGCTGTAGGCGGGGGTTGCTACTGGACACGAGTGAAAAAAGAGCTCTATAGCTCATCAGATTCCTCCACGATAAATAAAGATTCTGACTCAGTCCATCATCATCATCATGTTCTCCCCGTGGTTGTGTGGATTTTTTCTCCGAATCCTCCGTTTTTTTTTCGCTCCGCGTTTGGAATCGACGTCACGTGTTTAGAGTATTATTTGTCTGCTATAAATTTCCACGTGACAAGCAGCTTTCTTTGGGCGATCATTTGTGGCCAGATCACTTCTGAAAATGTCTATGTAGCTCAGTGGGCCTTACCTGATAAAATAAAGAAAATCATCCATCTCTCCAGAGTCGATAATAGTCGACCATCTTCATGGGGAAGTCAACAGCAGTTGTCCTTTGTAGAGAATCGCCCCCACCATAGGAATGTGGAATTTCCACCACCAGCTCAGTGCTGCAAACAGGACATGAGCACCAAGGAGTACAATTGAGCAGCAAATTACATTGAGGCTCTTTTTTTTATCGTATTTTTGCGTTTCGAGTTTAACTTGCACCCCGATCGCATTCCCAACTTCATGTGGACGCCATGCTACGTGAAAAGAGGGAGACGTTTCTCACGTTTGTAGCCACAGGGTAGACAACTTAGAGGTTGGGAACAGGAGGGGAAAAGGTGATAGTGATGGGTGTCCAGGGTGGGAGGGCGGTGGAGGGAATATGGTTAGCAACTTCGAGGAGGGGGGTACCGAAATGCTCTCGCTGCTGTCATCAACGCTTCTGATGCCACAATTAACGACGACGACGGCAATGATGATGATGATGATGACGACGACGATTAATGGATGACAATTTCTCGTAACTTTTTTTCCCAGTACCTCCCGGCGCTGGGCTACGCGAAACGAACCCATCTCATGAATCCCATGGTTCCAGGACTGACCGGGGGCAAGATGAGCTCCTCCGAAGAGGTAAGCCAGGGGCCCGGCGATTATTCCCATCCGGCACATTCGCGAGCAGAAGAGGCGCGGCACGTTGCAACAGAAATCTTCCTCTTTTTCTTTTTGCATGTACAGGCGGTACCCCCCACCCCCCCCCACCCCCCGCCCCCGCATTGACGACGTGACAACGTCTTCCTGGAAAATCCGCGTTGTCGTTACCGGGACCCTGTTCACCCATAAGCAGGAGAGACATCACTTGCCAGTGTGTTTGTGTGTGTGTGTGTGGTTTCTTTCCCTTTACATCGTACCGTATTTGAAAGGGGATTTTTTTTTTTTTTTAAAAGAGAGATAACCCTCCGCAAAAAAAAAAACACTCGAGAGCAATAAACGCTCCACGCCAAGTCACATCGGTAGACGCGCCGTGAATCAACTGTCTGCGTGTCGTAAATGAATCCAGGGTGGCGTTGTATATTAACGTGGTATAAGTGGGTCGTAGCACATCGCACCGTTGTCGTAAGGCTGTTTGTATCCCCCTCCCCCCCTTCCCCTCCTCGTTTCGTTTGTGTCCCATGCGCTCGCTCATCCGTAAAAGGCGTCTGTTTGTGCACGCACGTTGAGCTTCTTTCGCACCGTACGTAGCCGACCGTGCTAATCGGATTTTCTTTTTTTTGTTTTTACACACATATATTTGCCCCGGCTAAGCGCAACTTGACGGTTGGGCATTGCGTTGAGAGCTAGGCACGAATGTGAATTCAACAAAACGAACGTTGCGTGTCGCATGCTTGGATAGCTGACGTGGAAACATACGTTGTGTGTGTGTGTGTGTAGGTGCTCGCTAGTGGGGAGCGGTGGTGTAGCGGTTAGCGCTACGCTGCGCTATGAACCTGGCGACCCGGGTTCGACTCCCGCTCACGGCCAACACCAGTGACGATTATCTGAACCGGTCCCGGGCCTCCCCTAGGTCGACTCGGCCTCAAATGAGTACCTGCTGCGGTGTGTAGTAAACATCGCCGCTGGGGAGACAAAGGCGGTCGGGCGTGGTGCTGGCCACCCACCCCCTCGTGTACCGTTCCGGCCTTCATAGGTGCTCGCTAACAGCACTTGCCCCTACAGTCAGTTAAGGCTATACGGGGGGGGGGGGGAAATTTGTCTTTTTTTGTGCGTGTGTGTTTGTGGAGCCATGGCGCAGCGATTCGTGCGCCGTAACTAGAAACCCGGCAAACCCGAGTTCGATTCCCGCACGCAGCCAACAACAGTGGCGAATATTTGAACCGGTCCTGGGCCCTCCCCTAGGTCGACTCGGCCCCAAATGAGTGCCTGGTGCGATGCGTAGTAAACATCGCCACTTGGGAAAAGCGCAGGTGGGCGGGCGTGGTGTCGGCCACCCATCCCGCTCGTGTGCCGTGCCGGCACTTCATTAGGTGCTGCTCGCTAACGGCACTTTCCACCAACAGTCTGTTAAGGCTATCCGGGGAATCTTCGCCTTTGCATCCCGTGTTCTTCGGAATGGCAGACGCACTTCATTTCTCTGTGTTAAAGAGCAAAAGTTCTGGACGGCGCATCTTACCATCCAGAGAATGCATGCAGTCTGCTGGAAGAAGCATTGTAATCAGAACCGGCTCCCGTAAGTAAGGTGCTCGCTAACAGCACTTGCCCCAGCAATCTGTTAAGGCTATACGGGGGATATTTGTGTTTGTGACCAGGTTTGTTATAACTTTAAGATCTGCTGCATACGTCACGTGATCCCTCCCCAGGCATCTCTGCCTAGGCCCCTTCCTCCCCCCCCATTCCAGGTGGATGAATGGGTGAGTGGGTGGATTAATGGGTGAGTGGGTGGGCGTGTTAGTGAATGGATGGGTAGATGAATGGGTGAGTGGGTGGATGAATGGGTGAGTGGGTGGACATGTTCGTGAATGGGTGGATAGATGAATGGGTGAGTGAGTGGACGTGTTAGTGAATGGGTGGGTGGATGAATGGGTGAGTGGGTGAATGAATGGGTGAGTGGGTGGACGTGTTAGTGATTGGGTGAATAGATGAATGGGTTAGTGGGTGGATGAATGGGCGAGTGGGTGGACGTGTTAGTGAATGGGTGGGTGGGTGGATGAATGGGTGAGTGGATGAATGGGTGAGTGGGTGAGGCACCATGTGGGTGATGGGTGAGTGAATGAGAGGGTGAGTAAGTGGGCGAGAGAGTGAGTGGGTGAATCAGTGGGTGACGTAGTGAGTGGATGAGATGGTGAGTGGGTGGGTGAGAGTGAGTTGATGAGTGTGTGAGTTAGTAAGTGGGTGAGTGAGTGAGTAAATAATCGTGAGAGTACGGTGTGTACTGTATATGTAGGAGTGTTTGTGTGTCTGCGTACCGTGCCGTTCTGCCAGTGAGACGTCTATAAAATAAAACACAGGCATTGTTCTTGAGAGGTCTATTGAGCCAATGTCCTCTGTGTAACGAGGTTAAGATCCCACTGTGATCGAACATGTTGTTTGCAGATGGTTTGTGGGTGGGGTGGGTGGGTTGTGTGTGGTTGCGTTGTGAGTGGGTTTGGGTGGTTGGGTTGTGGGTGGGTTGTGGGTGGGTGGGTTTTGTGTGGTTGCATTCTGAGTGGGTTTGTGTGGGTGGGTGGGTTGTGTGGTTGCATTGTGAGTGGGTTTGGGTGGTTGGGTTGTGGGTGGGTTGTGGGTAGGTTGTGGATGGTGGGTGGGTTGTGTGTGGTTGCGTTGTGAGTGGGTTTGGGTTGTGAGTGGGTTATGGGTGGGTTGTGGGTGGGTGGGTTGTGGTTGGGTTGTGGGTGGGTTTTGGTGGGTGGGTGAGTTGTGGGTGGGTGGGTGGGTGGATGGGTGGATTGTGAGTAAGTTTGCGTGGGTGGTGGGTTTGGGTGGGTGAGTTGTGGGTGCGGTCGGTGGGTTAGTTGTGGCCGGGTTATGAATGAGTGTGCTGTTGCCGGGTGGTTACTTCAACCAGAAACGTGGCACGAGAGAGATGGAATGCAACCGCTCTGCACTGTGCTTTGCGAGTCCAGGGGGCGTGCGCCAGCGATCGTTACACCGCTCTGGCGGTGAAGTCCGTCCACCCGCGGCACGAGAAGGAATTCTCTGAAACTGCCCCACAGCGACGAGCAGAAAATGCAATTCCATCAAAGTCATTTAAAAACTGATTTGTTGGAATGGGGAGGAACCGGAGGCTTGGTTGCAATGAAGTGAACCACAAATAGATGGTTGAGACGTCTGCATTTAATTTATACAATGCGCGCGCGTGTGTGCGTGTGTGCGTGTGCGTGTGTGTGTGCACGTAGCAGTGCTAGCTAACATTACTTGCCACGAAAAGTATGTGAAGGCTATAAGGGGGATCTTTTGTTTTTTGCATGCAGCTGGTTAGCGTGCTGCACTGCGAAACCAGCGAACCGAGTTAGATTCCTGCTCGCGGCAAACATCGGGACGAAAACATGAACTGGTCCCGTGCCTTCCCTAGGTCAACTCGGCCTCAACAGAGTACCTGCTGCGATGTGTAAACATCGCCGCTGGGGAGACAAAGGCGGTTGTGCGTGGTGCTGGCCACCCCCCCCCCCCCCCACCACCTTATGTACCGTGCAGGGCTTCATAGGTGCTCACTTACAGCACTTGCCCCAACAGTCTGTTAAGGCTATACGGGGGATCTTTGTCTTTTTATATCTAGCCACGGAACAATGTAATGCTCGCGTCGCTTCGCTCGGTGCTTTTAAGAATTCTTGCGGAACAATCCAGGAAGATGAATAGTTACATGTGACTGTCTCGTCTGTCCGGTCGGCCTCATTGTGTGCTGTCTAACGTATCTGTCTCACGTGCTAGCATGTCGCGTTCGCAATAATAATTTCATTTTATACAGCGTCATTCATGCCAATGGCGTCCTGCAAGGCTGTACATTGACTATTCATGAGGACCGAATCCTGCGTGTCTCATTTGTACTGTGTCTTGTTTGCACTGTGATTGATGTATAATGCCTCTCCCGTGTACTGTGCAGTCTCATGCGCACCAATAGCAAGCAGTTGCACGTCGTGCGGTGTCATTAACGGCCAGCAGAGAGACGGACCGCTCCGTCTTATTACACGCGGGGTGTAGCAGCGGCGGCGGCGGCGGCGGTGCCTAGCGCACTGTGGCCGTGAAAACCCAGTCCACCTGAGTTGGATTCCCCCCCCCCGGCCATGGCCAACGTTGGTGGCAAGTGATGTCGGAGCCGGTCCTAGCCCTAGGCCGCTTCGATTCCCCCAACCGACGCCGTCCGCCACCGTGGAGAGGAACGGCGCGGGGGGGGGCCTTCATCCAGCAGTGGATTGACAGAGAGGGGGGGGGGGGGCTGCAAGTTGTAGCTATTGCTTTGTAATAAGTCACGTGATGGGAGGACGCACGCGCAGGTAGAAGACGTGGTTTAAACTAAACTTTTTTTTATTTTACCGGGTGAGTCCCACTGAGCTACTTTGTCTCTTTTTCACAAGCGACCTGGCCACAAAACGATAGCTCACCGAAGTGGCTTATCGCGTGGAAATTTATAGCGGCAGGCAAATACTCTGAATGCACTTTGATTCCGAATACGTGGGGAAGGGAAAACCGGAGGGCCAAGATAAAAATCCGCGCTCCCCACGGGGAGAGAGACACGTAAACTCCAAATATACAGCAGCAGGCATAAGGGTCAGGATGGAACCCACGACCTCCTGTGCACCAGGCGAGGTAGTTAACATCTCCTAGCCACCGTGATGATGATGATGATGAGAGAGAGACACGCAAACTCCAAATATACAGCAGCAGGCGTCAGGGTCAGGATGGAACCCACGACCTCCTGTATACCAGGCGAGGTAGTTAACATCTCTCCACCAAGGCGCTCTCTGATGACAAACTTGAGTGGGGCTCGGGCCGGACCCGTCATTAGAAGGGACGATAGCCGATGGTCAAGATTCATGAAGGAGTGACAGCTAAGGAATGGAACGCGTCTGAGGGGACATCTATTGAAGAGATGGAGCAATAGAATGAAAATGAAAAAAAATTTAAACGGAATATTTACCCAGTTCAGGCTTCCACAGATTATTTATAGCGGATCTCACTGCCGCCACTTTCGCACATTCCTCCATCCGGTCGGTGACCTTGGCGCGGTGACCTCTGACCTCCGCGTGCCCCAATTAATCCTCCAGCCAAAGCGCGCGTCCATCTCCGGGCTTAGACGAGTGGCCGACAGCGTCCTTGGCGTCACGACGAGGACAGCTCGCGCCCTCTCCCGCCCCCCTCCCCTGCCGATTCCTGCTCGTGCCCGCTAAAACCGGTGACGATTGGTGAACGCGCGAGTGAGCGGGTGAGCGGGTGAGTGGGTGAGCGGGTGAGCGAGCGAGTGAGCGGGTAGGTGAGTGAGTGAGTTAATGAGTGAATGGTTGAGCAAGTGAGTAGGTGAGTGAGTGTGTTAATGAGTGGATGGTTGAGCAAGTGAGTAGGTGGGTGAGTGAGTTAATAAGCGGATGGTTGAGCAAGTGAGTGAGTAGATGAGCGAGTGAGTAGCTGGATGAGTGAGTTTATGAGTGAAAGCTTGAGGGAGTGGGTGAGCACGTGAGTGAGTTATTGAGTGGATGATTGAGTGGGTGGGCCGGTAAGTAAGTGAGTTAATGAGTGAATGGTTGAGCAAGTGAGTAGGTGGGTGAGTGTGTTAATGAGTGGATGGTTGAGCAAGTGAGTAGGTGGGTGAGTGAGTTAATGAGTGGATGGTTGAGCAAGTGAGTAGGTGGGTGAGTGAGTTAATGAGTGGATGGTTGAGCAAGTGAGTAGGTGGGTGAGTGAGTTAATGAGTGGATGGTTGAGCAAGTGAGTAGGTGGGTGAGTGTGTTAATGAGTGAATGATTGAGCAAGTGAGTAGGTGGGTGAGTGTGTTAATGAGTGGATGATTGAGCAAGTGAGTAGGTGGGTGAGTGTGTTAATGAGTGGATGGTTGAGCAAGTGAGTAGGTGGGTGAGTGTGTTAATGAGTGGATGGTTGAGCAAGTGAGTAGGTGGGTGAGTGAGTTAATGAGTGGATGGTTGAGCAAGTGAGTAGGTGGGTGAGTGAGTTAATGAGTGGATGGTTGAGCAAGTTAGTAGGTGGGTGAGTGAGTTAATGAGTGAGTTAATGAGTGGATGGTTGAGCAAGTGAGTAGGTGGGTGAGTGTGTTAATGAGTGGATGATTGAGCAAGTGAGTAGGTGGGTGAGTGTGTTAATGAGTGGATGGTTGAGCAAGTGAGTAGGTGGGTGAGTGTGTTAATGATTGGATGGTTGAGCAAGTGAGTAGGTGAGTGAGTGAGTTAATGAGTGGATGGTTGAGCAAGTGAGTAGGTGGGTGAGTGTGTTAATGATTGGATGGTTGAGCAAGTGAGTAGGTGGGTGAGTGAGTTAATGAGTGAGTTAATGAGTGGATGGTTGAGCAAGTGAGTAGGTGGGTGAGTGTGTTAATGAGTGAATGATTGAGCAAGTGAGTAGGTGGGTGAGTGTGTTAATGAGTGGATGGTTGAGCAAGTGAGTAGGTGGGTGAGTGAGTTAATGAGTGGATGGTTGAGCAAGTGAGTAGGTGGGTGAGTGAGTTAATGAGTGGATGGTTGAGCAAGTGAGTAGGTGGGTGAGTGTGTTAATGAGTGGATGGTTGAGCAAGTGAGTAGGTGGGTGAGTGTGTTAATGAGTGGATGGTTGAGCAAGTGAGTAGGTGGGTGAGTGTGTTAATTAGTGGATGGTTGAGCAAGTGAGTAGGTGGGTGAGTGTGTTAATGAGTGGATGGTTGAGCAAGTGAGTAGGTGGGTGAGTGAGTTAATGAGTGGATGGTTGAGCAAGTGAGTAGGTGGGTGAGTGTGTTAATTAGTGGATGGTTGAGCAAGTGAGTAGGTGGGTGAGTGAGTTAATGAGTGAGTTAATGAGTGGATGGTTGAGCAAGTGAGTAGGTGGGTGAGTGTGTTAATGAGTGGATGGTTGAGCAAGTGAGTAGGTGGGTGAGTGTGTTAATGAGTGAATGATTGAGCAAGTGAGTAGGTGGCTGAGTGTGTTAATGAGTGAGTGATTGAGCGAGCGAGCGAGCGAGTGAGTGCGAGTGTACCGTTGTGACCTGCAGTGTGGCGGTTGTTGAAATGCCACGCGGTCCGGCTAACCCGGAGCAACGCACGACGCAGGACTCCAAGATCGACCTGCTGGACTCCGAGGCGGAAGTCAAGAAGAAGCTGAAGAGGGCGTTCTGCGAGCCGGGCAACGTGGAGAACAACGGCCTCCTCGCCTTCGTCAAGCACGTCATCTTCCCGCTCCACGGAGGTACGGCCCACCGGGTTCGTCACCAGGGCCGCGGCGGCGGTGGTAGCTTCACGTGGCGCCGAGTTGCTGCCGTCTGTGAGCGTTGGGGGTGTAGGTCCCCGAAGTCGACTCGGGAACAAAGGCGGCCGGGGCGTGGTGCTGGCCACCCACCCACCCACCTCGTGTACCGTACCGGCCCTCATAGGCACTGTTCGTGAACAGCGCTTGCCCCCAAAACAGGCTGTTTAAGGCTACACGGGGGGATTCTAGATTTGAAGCTTTCGTGACTGCAAGGATCCATATACTCTTTGGTTCTGTTCGGTAAAGTCACCACGTAGTAGGTAAAAAATAAAACGACAAAAATCACGACGTTTCGGCCACAACACAAGCGGCCTTCATCAGGTGAAGGGTCCAGACTGTCTCTCGAGGGCAGCGCTGGAGACAGCCTGGTCCCTTCACCTGATGGAGGCCGCTTGTGTTGTGGCCGAAACGTCGTGATTTTTGTCGTTTTATTTTTTACCTACTACGTGACTTTACCGAATAGAACCAACGGGTATACACGGGGGGATCTTTGTCCTTTGATGTCGGTGGTGGTGGCGGCGCAGGTCAGCTCGTCCTCAAATAAGCACCCGCTGCGAGGCGTAGTAAACGTCGCCGCTGGGGAGAGACGCAGGTGGGGGAGACGCACTGGACGTCTGTGAAAAGAGCTTCATCGCTCGTGGGGATTCCTCCGGCACGAATAAATGTGCTCATTCTGGGCCCCGTTTGAACGTCGGCGGCTGTGGCTCCAGGTGAACGACGTCGCGTACATTGCCGTCGTTGCAGAGTTCATCATCGCGAGGGACGAAAAGTATGGCGGGACGAAGACTTACCAGGTCTTCGCGGACCTGGAACAGGACTTCAAGGACGAGGTGAGAGAGCGAGAGTTAAAGCCGGCGACGGGAGCCTCCGTTTAGTCTTGCCACGGGATTGGGCTGCGCGGGAAAACGTGCAGCACGGGAACACGCAGAGCCACTGCGGCGAAACGACTTGCATGGCGGGATTGCCTCGGAGGCTTACACAGAGGCCTCTGGGCCAGCGTTGGTAACTTTGCCGACCCCGCGCATGCTGGACATCTGTGAAGAAGAGCGTTGGCAGCTCGTCGGATTCCTGCAGCCTTAATCAAGATTCTGATACACACCCATAGACATACATAGAGACCCAGCGACTTCCGAAACAGCTCGCTTGCATCGAGACGCACAGACTGAGACGGTCACCTTCACTTATTTTATTGACGCCAGAGTAATGATGGTGATGATGGTGATGATGGTGGTGATGGTGATGATGATGATAATATGACAGTGGTGTTGACGACGATGATGATGATGATGACGGGCTTATTCGACCACGCAAACCAGCATTTGAACTCGTGACCTTCCCCGTTGCAGATCACACGCACGCCCTAACCAAACCTCCGCTACTTCGTGCCACACTTTCTCATTTGGCGAGAGAGAAAAACGCGCGAGGACGCACACAAACAAACACACACACACACACACGCACACACACACACGTGCACACACACGTGCACACACACACGCACACACACACGTGCACACACACGCGCACGCACACACGCGCGCACACACACACACACACGCGTGCACACACACGCACACACACACACGCACACACACATGTGCACACACACGCGCACACACACACACACGCACACACACACACGCGCGCACACACGCACACACACACACACGTGCACACACACGCGCACACACACACACGCACACACACACACGCGCGCACACACGCACGCACACACGCACACACACACACGCGCACACACACACACACACGTAATAGAATACATTATTCATCCTTAACATTTTCCCATAAATAGCGACGCTTGCTCGCAAGGCACGCACGCACGCACCAGCGGGCGCGGGGGGTAGTAATTCACTCGCGCGGGAAAACGTAACGCAGTGTGTAACTCATTCCGGATAGAGCTGTTCCCTCTTGCCCTCCCGAGCGTTAAATGATTTTCTGGAAAACGAATTCAAATGTGCGCGACTCCCCCAGCAGTAGCGGTCGCGGCGTCGCTAGAGGCGCAGCCCCTGCAACTGCTCGCACCGTGCCGCTGCTGCCAGAAGGGCCTCCTCGGCCAGAGCAGAGCCGGAGAGAGAGAGAGAGCGCGTGCACTCCGAGAGGGTTTGTACGTACGCACGTTGAACTTCTTCCGCACCGTGCCAACCGGAGGCGCTGGGGAAGGATGACAAATGAAACGCAAAAATGGGCGGTAGGGAATTGCCGACGACAGAGCAGGAGCCGTGAATTTTCGCGACGTCGCCGCCGCCGCCGCCGCCAAATTTTTCCGGATACCGGGAGCCCCGTTGGGCTCGCGGTTCGGCGTGGGCTGCGGCGGATGCCTTGACGACACCCCGAGTCGAGCGTTGGGCCGACCGTGTCACTACCCCCCCCCCCACCACCCCCTCCTCCTCCTCCGCAGCACATCCACCCAGCAGACCTGAAGCAGTCGGTGGAGAAGTCGCTCAATGTCCTGCTCGACCCCATCCGGACCGAGTTTCAGAGTCCGGAACTCCGGAAGCTGATGAGCGACGCCTACCCCTCAGCCACCAAGCAGAGTGAGCGCCTTCCACCACGTGACCATCACCACTCCCTCCCTCCACTCCCCCCTCCACTCCCTCCCTCCTCCACTCCCCCCTCCCTCCCTCCCTCCCTCCTCCACTCCCCCCTCCCTCCACTCCTCCACTCCCCCCTCCCTCCCTCCCTCCCCTCCCTCCCCTCCCCCCTCCCTCCACTCCCCCCTCCCCTCCCTCCCCCCTCCCCTCCATCCCTCCTCCCCTCCCTCCACTCCCCCCTCCCTCCCCTCCCCCCTCCCTCCATTCCCCCCTCCCCTCCCTCCCTCCTCCCCTCCCCTCCCTCCCCTCCTCCCCCTTCCCTCCACTCCCCCCTCCCTCCACTCCCCCCTCCCTCCACTCCCCCCCTCCCTCCACCCCCCTCCTCCCCTCCCTCCCCTCCTCCCCCTCCACCCCTCCCCTCCCTCCCTCCCTCCACTCCCCCCTCTCTCCCTCCACTTCCCCCTCCCTCCTCTCCCCCCTCCCTCCACTCCCCCCTCCCTCCCCCTCCCCTCCCCCTCCACCCCACACCCCCCTCCCCATCCCCTCCCTCCTCCCCTGCTGCGTCTCTCACCGTCTCACTGTCACGCCGAGTCTCTAGAACTCGTTACCAGGTGGGTCCTGCCAAGTTGCCTCGTGGTGGTGGGGGGGGGGGGGGTGAGGGCGGGGGGCGCCGTGGCGATCTTGTTGCGAGATGCGATCCCGATTCAGTAGAATTATCGCAGTGCTGATGTGCCTCTGTAAACGAAACTCTTTTCTATTGTACCAGGCGAGGCCCCCCACTTTGTGTGTGTTCTCTGGCTCCTGTTCACGAGTGACCCGGGGCCGCAGACGAAGTGGCTTGGCGTCGCCGTGGACATTTTTACGGCATGCCCGATTCTCGAGACGTACGCCAATTCTAAATGTGGAGGGAAAAATGCGGACGCTGCCCGGAGAAAAATCCACTCCTCCACCTGGAGAGAGAGAGAGATAGAGAGAGATAAACATTTATACGGGCGTTAGGGTCGGGATCGAACCCACGACCGCCTGTATTTGAAATAGGGCGCCACATTTCACCATGGAATCCTTGCCGACCATTGTGAGACTCCACTGGGGCGAACAATCACAACGGGACAAGCTCCACACACGCGCAACGGCACCTGGCTCGGGAATCAAACCTCGCAGGGCCCTTCTAAACTAAAACTCTAAAGTAAACAATTGTATTATTGTATTATTATTATTTCCCGGGTGAAGCCCACTGCGCGATCAGCTCTTGTTCAGAAGCGACCTGGCCACACGTGATCATAGCTCATCATCGACGGTGGCTGATATCGTCATCATCATCATCACGTGGGGATTTATAGAAACAGCCAAATCATCTGAACACGAGTTGATTCTCAATGTGGACCCCAAAACGGTTGCGGTCACCACTGCTGTGCCGCCACCACCCCCACCACCGCACTACCGCAACAACACCACCACCACCACTGAGCTACCACACCACCATCACTGCACTACCGCCACCACACCACCACCACTGAGCTAGCGCCACCACTGTGCTACCGCCACCACACCACCACCACTGAGCTAGCGCCACCACACCACCACCACTGAGCTACCCCCACCACACCACCACCACCGCACTACCCCCACCACACCACCACCACTGCACTACCGCAACCACACAACCACCACTGAGCTACCGCAACAACACCACCACCACCGAGCTACCGCCACCACACCACCACCACCGAGCTACCACAACCACACCACCACTGAGCTACCGCCACCACACCACTACCACCGCACTACCGCCACCACACCACCATCACTGCACTACCACAACCACACCACCACCACTGAGCTACCGCCACCACAGCACCACCACTGCACTACCTCAACCACACCACCACCACCGCACTACCGCCACCACACAACCACCACTGCACTACCACAACCACACAACCACCACTGAGCTACCGCCACCACACCACCACCACTGCACTACCGCCACCACACCACCACCACTGCACTACCGCCACCACAGCACCACCACCGCACTACCGCCACCACACCACCACCACTGCACTACCGCCACCACCGCCCTGCCGCTAACGCTAGATGCGCCGTTACCGCAGAAGGGAAGGTGGCGGTGGTGGCGGCTGACGATGAGATCTCTCCACGGCGCCTCGACATCCGCGTCGGGAGAATCATCTCGGCAGAGAAGGTGAGAGGATCCCGACTGGGTCTCACGATCCCTCGCTCAGGAGGGGTCCTGCCAGCTCCTCGCAGTTAGGGGGGCCGGGCGGTGGTGGTAGGGGGTGGTGGTGGTAGGGGGTGGTGGTGGTGTAGGGGGTGGTGGTGGTGGTGGTGGTAGGGGGTGGTGGTGGTGGTGGTGGTAGGGGGTGGTGGTGGTGGTGGTAGGGGGTGGTGGTGGTGGTGGTGTTGGTGGTAGGGGGTGGTGGTGGTGGTGGTGGTAGGGGGTGGTGGTGGTGGTGGTGGTAGGGGGTGGTGGTGGTGGTAGGGGGTGGTGGTGGTGGTGTTGGTGTTGGGGGGGGCGGTGGCGGTGCGGAGCACCATGATTGCCGCGTACAACTCTTGATCAGCATCGGGGTGAGAACTCGGTGAGACCCAGCGGTAGGGGGTCTCATTTGCGCGAGAGTGAGCGTGGGGGTATCGGTCTGCCGCCGCTCGGATCGGGGGGCGGGGGCGGAGGGGGGCGACGGACGGTTGCTGCAGTCTGTACCATCGCGGTTGAGGCATTTGTTTGCGGCGACGCTGGGGCCTGGCGGGGTCTTCAACGCCCGCCGTTTCTGTTCCTGCGAACGGCAAGCAATGTCATGAGTTGGCGGAGGGAGGGAAGGGGAAGGGGGGGAATGGAAGGGGAGGGAGGGAGGTGTGAGCTGGGGGGGGGGGGGGGGACAGGACACGCGTATGTCCGTCCACGCATCGGAATGTCCGTCCAAGTCTCTGCCCGTGTGTCTGTGTGTATGTCCTTAAACGCCCTTCCAACGCGGTCCGTCTCTCCGGTCGTGCGTCTGTCCGTGCGTCGGAGCGTCCATCCAATCGTCCGCCCGTGTGTCTTGTCTCAATGCCCTTTTGTGCACGCGTGTGTCCGTGGTGCAGCTGCAGCGTAGCGCTGAGCGCTACGCTGCAGCTACGAACCCCTGGCCACCAACACCGCTCGCGCCGACGATTATCTCAACCCTTGTCCCGGGCCCCCCTCCCCTAGGTCGACTCGGCCTTCGAATGAGCACCCTGGTGCGACGTGTAACAACAAAAAAACACAAAGTCATGCGGGGGAGACAAAGGCGGCCGGGCGTGGTGCTTGCCACGCCACCCCCGACCGTGCGCCGTGCCGGCCTTCATCGGTGCTGCTCGCTCAACAGCGCTTGCGCCCGACAGCCCGGTTGAGGCGACACGGGTTCATCTTTTTTGTTTTTGTTTTTGCCCGTTTCTTCTGTGAGCAGCACCCGGATTCGGAGGAGCTGTTTGTGGAGCGCGTGTCCCTGGGCGAGGGTGAGGAGCGCGTGGTCGTGAGCGGCCTGGCCAGGGCCGTGCCACTTGCTTCGCTGCCCGGACGCCTCGTCGTGCTGCTGTGCAACACGAAGGTGGCGCGCATGCGCGGCGTTGAGTCCCGTGCCATGCTGCTCTGCGCATCGTCGTCACCGTACGTGCAGCGCACAGGCAACACGTGGGCACCACGGCGGGGGGGCGGGAGAGGGGGAGAGGGCGAAACCTGGACTATCATAATGCTCGTGAGCGGCAGGGCCGTGCCACGTTCACTACGCGGTGTGCGCGCGAGTCACACCGGCATAGGTCACGGCAATATCGGTCTTCTTAGGAAGTGCAACGCCGGCGTTTTTAAGTACGTACTTGCGTGCACGCGCGTGCATTTGGGCGTGCGTGTGTGCGCGTGCGTGTCGTAGGGAGGGGGGGACGCCCAAGTTGGAGCTCCTGGATCCCCCCGAGGGCTCGGCTCCAGGAGACCTTGTCCACGTTGCCGGGTACGAGGCTGTGTCCCCCGACGCGGAGCTCAAGCCCAAGAAGAAAATCTTCGAGAAAATCCAGGTGTCGCAATCGCCTTCTCTCTCTCTCTGTCACCCTCTCCTCTTCCTCCCAGTACCCCTTCATCCACCGGGCACATCCGAGCCAAGCCAGCGCTGGCACGGTACGGGTGGTATTTCCCACTGCCTCTTTGCCGAACCGAACCAGAACCAAGCCGTGCTGCGCTGCTTGCCTCGAAAAAAAAACATTTGAATCTGGCTTGGGGCCAAGCAGGGCCAGGGGTGCCACGGTGGCCAGATGTTAACTACCTCGCCTGGGATGCAGGAGGTCGTGGGTTCGATCCCAACCGTGACGCCTGCTGCTGTATATTTGTAATTACCACGTCACCGTGGTCACGTGGATTTTTGCCTCGGTCTTCCGTTTTTTTTTCCCCCTCTGCATTTAGAAACATGCAATTAGATTGTTCGGCTCCAATGAATTTCCACGCGATGATAAGCCACTTCGTTTGACTGTAATTTGTGATGGCCAGGTCACTTCTTAAAAAGGGCCCAATAGCTCGGGGTGGGCCCTTACCCGATTAAAAAAAAATAAAAAGTTTAAAGTTTTAGTCGATGAAGCTATCATCTTCTTTTTTCCACCGCCCCGGCTCCCCCGCGCGTCCATCCAAGGTCGACTTGCGAACATCGGAGGGGCGCATCGCTCAGTGGAAGGGCCACGACCTCGCCACAAAGCTGGGCCCCGTGACCTGCGCGACGCTCGCCAACGCCCTCATCGGCTGAGAGCGGAGCCGCACACACGGTCTGCGGTTGGGGCGGTGATGGGGGGGATACACCGGTGGTTCGCATAGAAGGGAGGGAGTGGTTGCCCCCAACACATGGTGGGTTGATTGGTCAGTTGAAATAAATAAACACGTACATAGTGCAAGTCTACACCACAAAGTAACCTGCTGCTGACTTCATTGCCACAGAGTGGCAAGTGATTTTATCGACCGCGGAGAGAGGATGATTGTGGGCCGGGTCGACCTCCACCCGCACATTCTGTTGGCTCATGGCTTCTAAGTGGGGTAAATAAAACTAACTTTAAAAATGTATGTTTACTCATGAACGTTGAATTATCCCAAAAAGCAATATGTGTACACACGGCCTATGTCAAAATTAAAACGTTCCGTCAGGCACAAAGCCAGTCTCGTGCAGTTTCCAACAATCACATGGGCTCCATCGGCCAATGGGATGCGTCGTAGCTGAACGGCCATTTAATATTATTGGATCTTGTGCCAATGGCCCAAAAATGTCTTATTGACGGTACCACCCAGGGTGGCAAAGGCTAACAGTTATTCTCAGAGAGGATTTTGTCCCTAGACCTTAGATATGTATGATAGCAAGGCCACAGTGGTAGTTGTGAGAGAGAAAAACGTTACCGTTGTGCAATGTTTTATAGAGTGTATGTATTTAGAAGGGGGGGAAATTATCTGATATGAAACATCTATGGAATATTAAGATGATTTGCATCTATAAAACAGAGTGTAACGTGAAGCTTTCTGTCCATGGTGGGCATTTTGTAGTTATTTCCACCCCAGATGGTACCGATCAAATCTAAATTTAACCATGGATTATCTTATGCATTGGTGAATTTAACCGGACAGTGAGATGCCACTTGTTCATGAACTGAAATTTATATTTCGGAGCATAATGAGAAAACGTGCGGTTGTAACGCTGAAGTTAGTGGAATAATATCAAATAAATATGAATTGCATACCCTTTTAAATCGCTATCTGGATTTAGTTTGCACTTAACTCCGTGAAGCTGTTTATATATATATAAAAAAGTACGTTTTGCAACATCATTTGTAACGGAGAGGTGGCCGATGAATTGGAGCGCGTAGATTAAAAACTCACTTCTTTAGAACTGCTTTTTGTGTTTAGTTGTCCTTTGCCCCACACTTGCAATTAGCACGATTGCCTATGTACGGTGTGAGAGAGTTCAACTTACATAGATACATAGAGACCCACAGACTCACACAGAGACCCACAGACTCACATAGAGACCCATTGGCTCGCACAGAGACACACAGACTCGTAGAGACCCACAGACTCGTAGAGACCTACATACTCACATAGATTGAAAACTAGACTCAAAACACGTTTATTTGGAACAGCTGTTTGTCTTAAGTTTGTCCGTTCCCCGCACTTCCGATTAGTACGGCTGGCTACGTACGGTGCGAGAGAAGTTCAACCTGCGTACATATTCATAATAAACATGTTTGGGTTAGATCGCGTTATTATTTATAAATGTGTCGTAACCCTCCACCACCCGACACGGCCAAACAGTAAAAAAATGTGTCATAAAAAAGACAAATAGTTCACTACTTTAGCCCACCGGTGTGTTGAGTGATTCAACATCATTTACAATTTTTTGAGTACCACGTTTCGCTGGTAATTACATCCAGCATCATCGGGCAATTTGCGAGAATAGTAAAGCCCTCCACTTGCTCCCGGTCTTAAATAGAGCAACAGCAGGGTGACTAGACACGAGGTTGCCAAAATAATTGAGAAGAGCAAAGTACCAAAAGTAAATATTACCTCGAACGAAGCAAAAGCCTTAAGAGTGCTCCGATTGAATAGAGATATCCAAATCCTGGCAGCTGATAAAGGCCGCACTACTGTAGTGATGTCACGAGCCGATTATGATAATAAAATGAAAGATTTACTGGAGGAAAGTACCTACATTAAAATTAAACGAGATACAACTAATACTTTAGAACTAAGACTACTGCAATCATTGCAAATTCATTCATCCTTAAGCAATACCAATTTAAGCCAAGGGCCTCAAAACCACCTAGACTGTATGGGCTACCAAAGATTCATAAAATCGGTATCCCATTACGACCCATAGTACAATTGGCTCTGCCACATTAATTAGCAAAATATATGACTAAACATACAGCCCTACATCGGTAGGACATCTTCATTCATAAGAAATTCAGAACATCTTGTGAACGTGTTTAAAGATATTAAACTTAACCCTAATGATATTCTGGTGAGTTTTGATGTGATTTCTTTATTCACTAAGGTTCAATTACTTGATACACTAAAGAATACAGGTTTACCAAAAGATATCCCGAAACTAGCTGACCATTGTTTAAATAACACTTCTTATGGAGAGGGGATTTCTTTAAACAAAAGGAAGGAGCAGCAATGGACTCTCCTTTATCACCTGCTATAGCAAATCTGTACATGGAAAACTTTGAGTACATTAAAACCATATTTTTGGTTTAGATATGTTGATGACACTTTGCTTGTCTGGCCACATGGTAAAGATACACGTAATGATTTCTAAATCATCTCAATGCACAAAACCCAGCCATCCAGTTCACCATGGAAATAGAGGTGAGTAACACACTACCGTTCCTGGATATTTTTCTTGGACATGGTCTAAATTGCAAAATAACACAGCGTTCACAGAAAGCAAACGCACACTGATTCCTATCTGAATGCAGATTCACATCATCACCCAGCTCAGAAATCCTCTCTTATCAAGACGCTCATACGTCGGGCTAAAACAGTGTCAGATGGTGAAAGTCTAGTGAGAGAGATTAAACACGTTAAAGAAGCACTACGACAGAATGGCTACAATGATGCTAAAATTAATAGAGCACTGAATGCCAAATCACGAACGCAAAGCAACACTGCTGAAAGCGATCAGATTGTTAAAACAATTAAAATACCATTTATCTCAGGAGTAACTGACAAATTAGCCCGTGTTTTGCAAAAGCAAAACATTTAAAAGTAAGATTTGGTACAGTACACAAAATTCAAAAACTAGTATCTTGCACTAAAGACGAATTACCTAAATTACTAACAGAAGGTGTATATCAGATTAATTGTTTATGTGGCAGATGCTATATTGGTCAGACGGGACGTAACATCAGCGCAAGACTAAGAGAACGCAAAATATTACATTATCTCAAACACAACTGTCGGCAGTGGCAGAACATGCTTGTCAACAAGGACACTCAATTGATTTTGATAACCTTGAAGTGTTGTGTAATTATTACTGGCCAAGACTAATTTGAGAATCCATTGACATACAAATAACTTTAATCGCTCTGACAGCTGCAGGCTTTGTGCGGCCTGGAAGCGTATTATTAAATAAAATATATATTACAATTCCTTATAGGGGAAACATACTAATTAATAACGATTGAATGATTACCAATCTATTATATAATTACAATACCCTCACCCTCTCTGCCTCAAATCACTGCACCAGAATGGGTTAAATGATGACGTCACCGTGCTGCTGCTCTATTTAAGACCGGGAGCAAGTGGAGAGGGCCTCAGCTTTCTGGCAAATTGCCCGATGACGCTGGATGTAATTACCAGCGAAACGTCGTACTCCAAAATTGTAAACGATGTTGAATCACTCTTCAACACACCGGTGGGCGAAAGTAGTGAACTATTTGTCTTTTGTAAACGTGAGACATTTTTTTACTGTTTGGCCGTGTCGTGTGGTGGAGGGTTACGACACATTTATAAATAATAACGCGATCTAACCCAAAAACGTTTATTATGAATGTTGGTCGCGAAAAGCCTGCCTACGTGTTAAACTTGCGTACATACGTAGTGGGAACACGTCCACCCAGGGCGGTTCACGGAGGAGGTGCGGGTCCCGTGGTAAACCCCACCCTGTGGACCGCCCCGACACCTTCGAACTAAACTGGAAAGTATTCCATCTGACACCGTGACGTCGAAACGCCGGATGCCCCCCAAAGCACGGGACCCGGGGCTAGTCGCCCCAATTCGCCGTACCCTAGGGACGGCTGAATAAGGCGCATTGCCAGAAACGTCGCCTATTTTATATCGCTTATTTTTCCTGCTAAGGCCACAGCAATTGAATTCCAGCTTCGTGTAAATAACCTTTTTTTTACCACCGTTGGTAGTAGTGTGGGCAAACCCTCAAGAGGAGGAGGGGGCTGGGGTTTGGGGCTATAATCTTCCACCGCCTTGCCACGCTGCGCGTCTCCCAGGCCCTGTGATGGGATGGTGTAACAGATGTCGGGGGTTTGTAAAATGGTGTTGTGAGAATGCGTTAAGGGGGCGAGTTGGGTCTTGGGTGCTCCAACACGGCCGGTGCTCCTAAAATAGCCTCGTGGCTGAGTGGAGGGTGGACTGGGTGGATGGCGAATCGTCGAGGGGTATTTTGAGTGACGAGCGAAGGTGGCCTTTGGCATTCCTCCTGCAGATGAAATGCGACGTTGCCCGCACGTACAATGTGCGCACACAAAAAACAAAAATCCCCCGTATAGCCTTGGCAGACTGCTGGGGCAAGTGCTGTTTGCGAGGAGCGGCTGTGAAGGCCGGCACGGGACACGAGCAGATTGGGTCGCCAGCATCATTCAAATATGCTCAAAAGGACCCCCCCCCCCAAATATATTGCTATACAATAGATTTCTGTTTATATGATTGTGATTATGGTTGTACTTTATTAATCCCTAATCTCTGCCATTACATACAATGAAAACAAGAAAAGGTAAAAAAGAAAAAAAACAGGGCAATGTGATACAATAACACTCTTAGACATTGTTACAAATAAATAAAAAGTCCATCCAATGTGTTAGTGATTTTTTTAATATTTTAGGCAGGAAATTAGTTTTCAAATTTAGAGATATATTTTTTTCTGGGGGGGGGGGGGGGGCGGGGGACCCCCCCCAGATCCCCTGGAAGATTTGGTCCCCCCCCCAATGTTGACTCCATGGCTACGGCCTTGGTTTACACCCTGCACCAGGTACTCCTTTTGAGGCCGAGTCGACCTAGGGAAGGTCCAGGAATGTTTCGGATAAATTGTCGCTCGCGTTGGACGTAAGCGGGAAATCGAACTCGGCTGTGGGCGCACAACCACGCGCTCCCAACTGTTCTCGCACGGCCCATGAGATTCGTAATTGATTGTGTTGTAAAGCCACCCGACGACACAGCCAGTTGACACAGTTGTCACGTGGCGATATTAAACGTAACTGTTAGCAACTTTTAATTTTACCGGGTTAAGGCCCGCTGAGCAATATAGCAGTTTTAACAGAAGCAACCGATTCACATTCTTATTCTTGGTTCTTGCGGTAAAGTCACGTAGAAGGGAAACAATAAAATAATAAAAATATGAAACAATAGAATTATCTTCTACGTGACTTTACCGAAAGGGCCAAGAATATGAATCCCTGCAGTCACGAAAGCTTTAAATCAAAATTTCCATTCTTTTCTATTTCGGATTTATGATTGCTCAACGAAGTGACTTATCACGTGAAAATGTATAGCAGACAAATTACTATTCTTGGTTCTTTCGGTAAAGTCACGTAGAAGGGAAACAAAATAATAAAAATATAAAACAATAAAATTCTCACGACGTTTCGACTGCAACACAAGCAATCATCATCAGGTGTGAAAACCACAGCAAGAAAATTTGAAAAAAGTGGTGGGTTTTTTTAACGTTAGCGCCACTTTTTCAATTTTTCTTGCTGTGGTTTTCACACCTGATGATGATTGCTTGTGTTGCAGTCGAAACGTCGTGAGAATTGTATTGTTTTATATTTTTATTATTTTATTGTTTCCCTTCTATGTGACTTTACCGAAAGAACCAAGAATATGAATCCCTGCAGTCACGAAAGCTTTAAATCAAGACAAATTACCGTAAACATACGTTGATTCTAACTACTAAACCTTGGCCGCGCTGATCGCTCCTTCGACTTACCGGCGAGGAGCTGAAACGACAGTAAACTGGCACGTTGGCGCACGTGGTGAGCAATTTGGCACACGTGGTGAGCAATTTGGCGCACGTGGTGAGCAATTTGGCGCACGTGGTGAGCAATTTGGCGCACGTGGTGAGCAATTTGGCACACGTGGTGAGCAATTTGGCGCACGTGGTGAGCAATTTGGCACACGTGGTGAGCAATTTGGCGCACGTGGTGAACAATTTGGCGCACGTGGCGAGCAATTTGGCACGTGGTGACCAATTTGGCGCACGTGGTGAGCAATTTGGTGCACGTGGTGAGCAATTTGGTGCACGTGGTGAGCAATTTGGCGCACGTGGTGAGCAATTTGGCGCACGTGGTGAGCAATTTGGCGCACGTGGTGAGCAATTTGGCGCACGTGGTGAGCAATTTGGCGCACGTGGTGAGCAATTTGGCACGTGGTGAGCAATTTGGCGCACGTGGTGAGCAATTTGGCGCACGTGGTGAGCAATTTGGCGCACGTGGTGAGCAATTTGGCGCACGTGGTGAGCAATTTGGCGCACGTGGTGAGCAATTTGCCGCACGTGGTGAGCAATTTGGCACACGTGGTGAGCAATTTGGCGCACGTGGTGAGCAATTTGACGCACGTGGTGAGCAATTGTTACGTTTGGCTACGTCGGGTGTTAGAGGGTTTTTATACGACAGGAATTGTCACCAAAAAAAATCAATCGGACATGACAAATATTGTTTTACCATTGATAACGTTTGCGTGAAAATTCAGTGATTATTATTCAAGATTATTATAAGATACATTTTCGTGCAATGACCAATGAAAGTTATGATTTTAAACGAGGGAAAAAAATTACAAGATCCAAAATCGAGCCTTAACATGTTAAAACTAAAAACTCTTACCTAATACATGCTTTACGTGTTTATATTACACGCACAAAAACGTACACAAAGGGGTGGGTGGCCGGTACCACGCCCGGCCGCCTTTGTTTCCCCAACGCCGATGATGTTTACACACCAGGTACTCATTTAAGGCTGAGTCGACCAAGGGGAAGCCCAGGACCGGTTCAACGTCACTGTTATTGGTCGTGAGCGGGGACTCGAACTCGAGTCTCTGCGGGGTTCAGTGGCGCGCGGGTGCGCTAACCACCGTGCCACCGTTCCCCACCAAAGACAAAGATCCCCCGTGTAGCCTTAACAGACTGTTGGGGCAAGTGCTGTTAGCGAGCGGCACCTATGAAGGCCGGTGCTGCACCACGAGGTGGTGGGTGGCCAGCACCACGCCCGGCCGCCTTTGTCTCCTTGGTAGCGACGTTAACACACCGCACCGGGTACTCATTTGAGGCTGAATCAGCCTGAGAGAGGCCCAGGGCCGATTTAGATCATCGTCATTGGTGTGGAATCGGAACTCTGGTCGCGGCTTCGTAGCGCAGCGTGCTAACCACCGCGCCACCGCTCCCCACAAAAGACACGTGTTTGTGGAACACGCATTGCATGCATGCACGCAACTTTGGTGCACAGAAATAGACAGACCCCTGCTACAGCATCTCCGCATCGACTTTGGGGACTACTGCTCTGTTAGTGAGCACCTATTAAAGGTTGCCATTGCGTGCACGGCGAGTACACGCGCGCCAGACGTCTCAGTAGTCATACGTGTACGTTGACATGTTTCAGACACACACTGACACGTGATTAACACTAACCCACACACAGCCCATGGACCACCATCACACACCCACACACTCTCAGTCCGTGTAACTCCACACACACCTCACACACACACACCACACGCACACACCACACACACACCCCACACACACACCCCACACACACCCCACACACACCCCACACATACACACCACACACACACCACACATACCCCCCCACACACACACCCCACACACACACACACCACACACCCCACACACACACACCCCGTGTAACCCCACACACACCCCACACACACACACACCCCACGCACACACACACCCCACGCACACACCCCACGCACACACACCCCACACACACCCCACGCACACATCACACGCACACACACCCACCACGCACACACCCCACACACACCCCGTGTAACCCCACACACACACCCCACGCACACACACCCCACGCACACACACCCCACGCACACACACCCCACGCACACACACCCCCCCCACATACCCCATGCACACACACCCCACGTACACACACACCCCACACACACCCCACGCGCGCGCACACACCCCACACACACCCCACACACACACACCCCACACACCCCACACACACCCCACACACCCCACACACACCCCCCACACACACCCCCAGTAGGATTCACGCCGTGACTGGGCCACCAGCTCTGATCGAGTGGACTCGGTTTAGAAACGTTTTGATCTGCGAGCCGACGCAATGGAGGAGGAGGAGGAGTCGTCGTGCTCCAGGTGGTTCATCCTTCTCATCGCTCTCACCTCGCCAGCAGCCACAGGTAACAACACAAACAGGTAACAACACAAACAGGGTCGTTGTTATAATTTATTTATGTAGTTTATTGTAAAAAATTCGGTCACAGTCCCTATGATCACTGTTACATTGGATTTATGGCTTTTATTTTGGTGATTTCGAAAAGTTTTTTTTGTTTTGGCAATGTTTTTGTTTATTGTAGTACGGAGTTAGACTGATGGCCTTAATCTTAGTTGTCTTGTGGTTGTTGTTGTTATTTGACTTGCATCCCACTGGGATTTTTGCACACAGCGTTGGTGTACGGTGCTATTTCAGGAATATTTTGATTGTTTTTTTCCTGGATTTTCTGTTTGCACAGTCACACAAAGTCACTTTAAGATGTTTTTCTTGTTCGTGTTTTTTTTGTTTGTTGCGGTTGCACCCGATTCAAGAGCCGAATGGCTCACAGGGCTATACCAACATAAATGAAACTTTGAAACTATGAACTAAACTATGAAGTGCTGTCGGCGAATAGCACCTGCAAACGCGTGGCGAGGATAACACTACGCCCGCACGGCCGCCTTTGTCTCCCCAAACGGCGATGTTTTTTTATTGACACCGCACCAGGGTGACTATTGTTTTAGGGCCGAGCGAACCTAGAGGAGGCCCGGTTTGGGTTTTCGCTGTGCACTGTCGCTGTTGTTGGTTGTAAGCGGGAATCGAACTCCCGAGTCGGTGCGCGAACCACGACGCCACCGCTGCACGTGCACAAGGCAAGGACAAAGATCCCCCGCATAGCCTCAACAGACTTGGGGACAAGTGCTGTTAGCGAGCTCCGATGAAGGCAAACGAGGGGGTGGGTGGTCAGCACCACGCCCGGCCGCCTTTGTCTCCGCAGTGGCGATGTTGACACACCGCACCGGGCACTGCACTCATTTGAGGCTGAGTCGACCTCGGGGAGGGCCAGCACCGGTTCAGTTCAAAGTCCCACCGGCGTTGGCCGTGAATTCGTGCCGCCGGGTTTAACGGTAACCGTTGCGACAATCGGTTACGCAGTTTAACACGCAGGAGGATTTCGCGACCAATATCATTCGCAATGGAGGGGTTTTGTTGGGGTTAGATCGGGTAAATATATAAATGTGTCGTTAAAACCCGCCACCTCCCTACACAGCCAACTAGTAAGGGTTGTCACGTCAACAGAACGTGGCCAATTCGTCACTAGCACAGCGCTAGTGTATAGTGTAGTGTATAGTGTAGAATACTAGTACAGCACTAGTGTATAGTGTAGTGTATAGTGTAGAATACTAGTACAGCATTAGTGTATAGTGTAGTGTATAGTGTAGAATACTAGTACAGCACTAGTGTATAGTGTAGTGTATAGTGTAGAATACTAGTACAGCACTAGTGTATAGTGTAGTGTATAGTGTAGAATACTAGTACAGCACTAGTGTATAGTGTAGTGTATAGTGTAGAATACTAGTACAGCACTAGTGTATAGTGTAGTGTATAATGTAGAATACTAGTACAGCACTAGTGTATAGTGTAGTGTATAGTGTAGAATACTAGTGTATAGTGTAGTGTATAGTGTAGTGTATAGTGTAGAATACTAGTACAGCACTAGTGTATAGTGTAGTGTATAGTGTAGTGTATATTGTAGAATACTAGTACAGCACTAGTGTATAGTGTAGTGTATAGTGTAGTGTACTAGTACAGCACTAGTGTATAGTGTAGTGTATAGTGTAGTATACTAGTACAGCACACTGGTTGTGTGTTGGAGAGCCAAGCCACAACATTTACAATCCGAGTACGACGTTTCGCCCGTAATTACAACCAGCTTCATCAGGCGCCAGCCAGATTTGTGGAGAGGTCCACCTGTCTCGTTCCTTATATGGTGACCACACTTCTGCGCTCTTCCGCAAAGTGTGGTGTGGAGATTACTGAGTCGTCGTTCCTTAATGCACGTGCATTATGCAAGCCCTTTGTATATATTTACGCGATCTAACCCAAAAAAAAAAACCTCCTGCCTGGCTCCGCCCTGGCCACGCCTCCCTTCTCGAACCCACGAGCGGCTTCCAGGGGCTTCCAGGGGCCTCCGGGTGGGGGTCTCTGTGACCCTTGCCCCAGTTCCTCCGCCCTGCCGGCACACACAGCCGCGTCAGCGCTCACCGGCGCGTGTGCCGCTCGTCCACCGGCGCGTGTGCCGCTCGTCCACCGGCGCGTGTGCCGCTCGTCCACCGGCGCGTGTGCCGCTCGTCCACCGGCGCGTGTGCCGCTCGTCCACCGGCGCGTGTGCCGCTCGTCCACCGGCGCGTGTGCCGCTCGTCCACCGGCGCGTGTGCCGCTCGTCCACCGGCGCGTGTGCCGCTCGTCCACCGGCGCGTGTGCCGCTCGTCCACCGGCGCGTGTGCCGCTCGTCCACCGCACTTGCCGGCTGCTGGACAGCAGTCGGCGCTATTACACTGCGCATGGATTTCTCAGAGCCACGTTGGGTCAGACAAGGGAAGGGGGGGTGAGGGTAACACTCGGTGAAAACAACATTTTAAACGGAAGGGGTAGAGCAGTAGCCAGCCAAGGTTTGAGACCAGTGGCTCACACCGCCAACGACACGCGATGCAATTGCACTGCTGCTGTATTTAGCCAGAGACGAGGGTTTTTTTATTTTCTGTACTTACGTAAAAATATATAAGAACCCCCATCGTTGCAACTGTCGCGGCGCTGGGAAAGGCGTCGAACCGGCGACTTCTGAGTGCGACTGCTATCACACCGCCGGTGTGGCAGCTTCCTTTAGTATCTCAGTTCAGTCATCGTTTACCGCTCTGGACTTTCCGATGTGGGTCGGACGAGTGTTCTGCATCGGGTGGACAGATTGTGGTGGCGATCCTGATTGGGGTGAACGAGCGAGAGATTGTCCAACCCCAGGTGGACTCGGCGTGCCCTCCCCTCCGGCGAACGTGAGCGTGGCCCTGCTGGGCCCCACCACGGCGCGGGTTTCATGGCAGCTGCCCGACCCCGGCGCTGTCATCGGCTTCACCGTGAAGCAGCAGGTGTGGCCCCTCCCCTCGGCTCACCCCCTCACCCCCTCACCCCCTCACCCACTCACCCCCTCACCCACTCACCCCCTCACCCCCTCACCCCCTCACCCCCTCACCCCCTCACCCTCACACCAGCCCATCAAACCGCTCGTTCACCGCTCTGCCAGCTCGTGTCGCCCGCCACGTCACCCCCCTGCCCACTTGTCCCTCCACTCACTCATCCCTCCCTCCAGCCCTGCCTGTCTCCATCCTCACGCTCATCCCTCCAGCCCTGCCTGTCTCCATCCTCACACTCATCCCTCCCTCCAGCCCTGCCTGTCTCCATCCTCACACTCATCCCTCCCTCCAGCCCTGCCCACTTGTCCCTCCACTCACTCATCCCTCCCTCCAGCCCTGCCTGTCTCCATCCTCACGCTCATCCCTCCGTCTCACCACCAATCCAGCCTCCATTCGCTCATTAATTGCAAGGCCACGGATAGATTGATGCATGTCGCGTACGTTGTTCCCCTACATACGTACGCTGGACTTGTCTCGCACCGTACGTAGACAACCGTGCGAATCGGAGGTGCGGGGGGAATGACAACAAGCTGAACCCGTCGAAGACCGGCGTCAGGTTTTTGAGAAGACAGCGGTGGAGTCGAATGAGGAGAGGCAAAGGAGTGAGAATTAAGGCGGGAGATTGAAGACAACTCGCGCGGAAGAAGCGTTTCGAATTTGCTGGAGGGCAAGAGGACAGTGGCAGGGAGACCAGGAAGAAGGGAGTGGCGGTGGTCCAGATCACAGAATGAGCCGCATGGCCCACAGCATCTTTATTTTTTTTTCCTAGAGAAATCGAACGAGCCATGGAGCACTCTTTTTCACAGGCGTCCACAGTATGGGGGGGGGGGGGGGGGGTCAGGAAGTTACAACAACAAGCGGGTACGAAAAACACAATAGGAGTGCAAAGTCTGGAAAAGGAAAACAAATCACTGAACCATAAGAACGTAAAAGGAATGCATGAATAAATACGTAAAAAGTATATTGCACCTGGCTCTCTCTGTGTCACCGTGTCACCGTCTCACCGTGTCACCGTGTCACCGTCTCACCGTGTCACCGTCTCACCGTCTCACCGTCTCACCGTGTCCCCGTCTCACCGTGTCACCGTGTCACCGTGTCACCGTGTCACCGTCTCACCGTCTCACCGTGTCACTGTGTCACCGTGTCACCGTCTCACCGTGTCACCATCTCACCGTGTCACCGTCTCACCGTCTCACCGTGTCACCATCTCGCCGTGTCGCCGTGTCACCGTGTCACCGTCTCACCGTCTCACCGTGTCACCGTCTCACAGTGTCACCGTCTCACAGTGTCACCGTCTCACCGTGTCACCGTGTCACCGTCTCACCGTCTCACCGTGTCACCGTCTCACCGTGACACCGTGTCACCGTCCCACCCACTCACCGTGTCATTGTCTCACCGACTCACCATCTCACCGTCTCACCGTGTCACCGTCTCACCGTCTCACCGTGTCACCGTGTCACCGTGTCACCGTGTCACCATGTCACCGCGTCACCGTCTCACCGTGTCACCGTCTCACCGTCTCACCGTCTCACCGTGTCACCGTGTCACCGTGTCACCGTCTCACCGTGTCACCGTGTCACCGTCTCACCGTCTCCTCGTGTCACCGTCTCACCGTGTCACCGTGTCACCGTCTCACCGTCTCACCGTGTCACGGTGTCACCGTCTCACCGTGTCACCGTCTAACCGTCTCACCGTGTCACCGTCTCACCGTCTCACCGTGTCACCATGTCACCGTGTCACCGTCTCACCGTGTCGCCGTCTCACCGTGTCACCGTGTCACCGTCTCACGGTGTCACCATCTCACCGTGTCACCATCTCACCGTGTCACTGTGTCACCATCTCACCGTGTCACCGTGTCACCGTCTCACCGTGTCACCGTCTCACCGTGTCACCGTGTCACCGTCTCACCATCTCACCGTCTCACCGTGTCACCGTCTCACCGTGTCCCGTGTCACTGTCTCACCGTGTCGCCGTGTAGTGTCACCATCTCACCGTCTCACCGTGTCACCATCTCACCGTGTCACCGTCTCACCGTGTCGCCGTGCGGTGTCACCGTCTCACCGTCTCACCGTCTCACCGTGTCACCATCTCACCGTGTCACCGTGTCACTGTCTCACCGTGTCACCGTTTCACCGTCTCACCGTGTCACCGTGTCACCGTCTCACCGTGTCACCGTCTCACCGTGTCACCGTCTCACCGTGTCACCGTCTCACCGTCTCACCGTGTCACCATCTCACCGTGTCACCGTCTCACCGTGTCACCGTCTCACCGTGTCACCGTGTCACCGTCTCACTGTGTCACCATCTCACCGTGTCACCATCTCACCGTGTCACCGTCTCACCGTCTCACCGTCCCACCGTCTCACCGTGTCACCGTCTCACCGTGTCGCCGTGTCACCATCTCACCGTGTCACCGTCTCACCGTGTCACCATCTCACCGTGTCACCGTCTCACCGTCTCACCGTGTCACCGTCTCACCGTGTCACCGTCTCACCGTCTCACCGTGTCACCGTCTCACCGTGTCACCGTGTCACCATCTCACCGTGTCACCGTCTCACCGTGTCACCGTGTCACCGTCTCACCGTGTCACCGTGTCACCGTGTCACCGTCTCACCGTGTCACCGTGTCACCGTGTCACCGTGTCACCGTCTCACTGTCTCACCGTCTCACCGTCTCACCGTGTCACCGTCTCACCGTCTCGCCGTGTCACCGTGTCACCGTCTCACCGTCTCACCGTGTCACTGTGTCACCATCCCACCGTCTCACCGTGTCACCGTCTCACCGTGTCACCGTCTCACCATGTCACCGTCTCACCGTGTCACCGTCTCACCGTGTCACCGTCTCACCGTGTCACCGTGTCACCGTGTCACTGTGTCACCATCTCACCGTGTCACCATCTCACCGTGTCACCGTCTCACCGTCTCACCGTCCCACCGTCTCACCGTGTCAGCGTCTCACCGTGTCGCCGTGTCACCATCTCACCGTGTCACCGTCTCACCGTCTCACCGTGTCACCATCTCACCGTGTCACCGTCTCACCGTCTCACCGTGTCACCGTCTCACCGTTTCACCGTCTCACCGTGTCACCGTCTCACCGTGTCACCGTCTCACCGTCTCACCGTGTCACCGTCTCACCGTGTCACCGTGTCACCATCTCACCGTGTCACCGTCTCACCGTGTCACCGTGTCACCGTCTCACCGTGTCACCGTGTCACCGTGTCACCGTGTCACCGTGTCACCGTGTCACCGTGTCACCATCTCACCGTGTCACCGTCTCACCGTGTCACCATCTCACCGTGTCACCGTGTCACCGTGTCGCCGTGTCACCGTCTCACCGTCTCACCGTGTCACCGTCTCACCGTTTCACCGTCTCACCGTGTCACCGTCTCACCGTGTCACTGTCTCACCGTGTCACCATCTCACCGTGTCACCGTGTCACCATCTCACCGTGTCACCGTCTCACCATGTCACCGTGTCACCGTCTCACCGTGTCACCGTGTCACCGTGTCACCGTGTCACCGTCTCACCGTCTCACTGTCTCACCGTCTCACCGTCTCACCGTGTCACCGTCTCACCGTCTCGCCGTGTCACCGTCTCACCGTGTCACCGTCTCACCGTGTCACCGTCTCACCGTGTCACCGTCTCACCGTCTCACCGTCTCACCGTCTCACCGTGTCACCGTGTCACCATCTCACCGTGTCACCGTCTCACCATGTCACCGTGTCACCGTCTCACCGTGTCACCGTGTCACCGTGTCACCGTGTCACCGTGTCACCGTCTCACTGTCTCACCGTCTCACCGTCTCACCGTGTCACCGTCTCACCGTCTCGCCGTGTCACCGTGTCACCGTCTCACCGTCTCACCGTGTCACCGTCTCACCATGTCACCGTCTCACCGTGTCACCGTCTCACCGTGTCACCGTCTCACCGTGTCACCGTCTCACCGTGTCACCGTGTCACCGTCTCACTGTGTCACCATCTCACCGTGTCACCATCTCACCGTGTCACCGTCTCACCGTCTCACCATCCCACCGTCTCACCGTGTCACCGTCTCACCGTGTCGCCGTGTCACCATCTCACCGTGTCACCGTCTTACCGTCTCACCGTGTCACCATCTCACCGTGTCACCGTCTCACCGTCTCACCGTGTCACCGTCTCACCGTTTCACCGTCTCACCGTGTCACCGTCTCACCGTGTCACCGTCTCACCGTCTCACCGTGTCACCGTCTCACCGTGTCACCGTGTCACCATCTCACCGTGTCACCGTCTCACCGTGTCACCGTGTCACCGTCTCACCGTGTCACCGTGTCACCGTGTCACCGTGTCACCGTCTCACCGTCTCACCGTGTCACCATCTCACCGTGTCACCGTCTCACCGTGTCACCATCTCACCGTGTCACCGTGTCACCGTGTCACCGTGTCACCGTGTCACCGTGTCACCGTGTCGCCGTGTCACCGTCTCACTGTCTCACCGTGTCACCATCTCACCGTGTCACCGTGTCACCGTGTCACCATCTCACTGTGTCACCGTCTCACCATCTCACCGTGTCACCGTCCCACCGTCTCACCGTCTCACCGTGTCACCGTCTCACCGTCTCACCGTGTCACCGTGTCACCGTCTCACCGTGTCACCGTCTCACCGTGTCACCGTCTCGCCGTGTCACCGTCTCGCCGTGTCACCGTGTCACCGTCTCACCGTCTCACCGTCTCACCGTGTCACCGTCTCACCGTGTTACCGTGTCACCGTGTCACCATCTCACCGTGTCACCGTCTCACCGTCTCACCGTGTCACCGTGTCACCGTGTCACCGTCTCACCGTGTCACCGTCCCACCGTCTCACCGTCTCACCGTGTCACCGTCCCACCGTCTCACCGTCTCACCGTGTCACCGTCTCACCGTCTCACCGTGTCACCGTGTCACCGTCTCACCGTGTCACCGTGTCACCGTGTCACCGTCTCACCATGTCACCGTCTCGCCGTGTCACCATGTCACCGTCTCACCGTGTCGCCGTCTCACCGTCTCACCGTGTCACCGTCTCACCGTGTCACCGTCTCACCGTCTCACCGTGTCACCGTGTCACCGTCTCACCGTGTCACCGTCTCACCGTGTCACCGTCTCACCGTCTCACCGTGTCACCGTGTCTCCGTGTCACCGTCTCACCGTCTCACCGTCTCACCGTGTCACCGTCTCACCGTCTCACCGTGTCACCGTCTCACCGTGTCACCGTGTCACCGTCTCACCGTGTCACCGTCTCACCGTCTCACCGTCTCACCGTGTCGCTGTGTCACCGTCTCACCGTGTCACCGTGTCACCGTCTCACCGTCACCGTCTCACCGTCTCACCGTGTCACCGTCTCACCGTCTCACCGTCTCACCGTCTCACCGTCACCGTCTCACCGTCTCACCGTGTCACCGTCTCACCGTGTCACCGTCTCACTGTCTCACCGTGTCACCGTCTCACCGTGTCACCGTCTCACCGTCTCACCGTGTCACCGTCTCACCGTCTCACCGTCTCACCGTGTCACCGTCTCACCGTCTCACCGTGTCACCGTCTCACCGTGTCACCGTGTCACCGTCTCACCGTGTCACCGTCTCACCGTGTCACCGTCTCACCGTCTCACCGTCTCACCGTGTCGCTGTGTCACCGTGTCACCGTCTCACCGTCTCACCGTCTCACCGTCTCACCGTGTTCACCGTCTCACCGTCTCACCGTGTCACCGTGTCACCGTCTCACCGTGTCACCGTCTCACTGTGTCACCGTCTCACCGTCTCACCATGTCACCGTCTCACCGTGTCACCGTGTCACCGTGTCACCGTGTCACCGTCTCACCGTGTCACCATCTCACCGCGTCACCGTGTCACCGTCTCACCGTGTCACCGTCTCACCGTCTCACCGTGTCACCGTCTCACCGTGTCACCGTCTCACCGTGTCACCGTGTCACCATCTCACCGTCTCACCGTGTCACCGTGTCACCGTGTCACCGTCTCACCGTCTCACCGTGTCACCGTCTCACCGTCTCACCGTCTCACCGTGTCACCGTGTCACCGTCTCACCGTGTCACCGTCTCACCGTGTCACCGTCTCACCGTGTCACCGTCTCACCGTCTCACCGTGTCACCGTCTCACCGTCACCGTCTCACCGTCTCACCGTCTCACCGTCTCACCATCTCACCGTGTCACCGTCTCACCGTCTCACCGTGTCACCGTGTCGCCGTCTCACTGTGTCACCGTGTCACCGTCTCACCGTCTCACCGTCTCACCGTCTCACCGTGTCACCGTCTCACCGTCTCACCGTGTCACCATGTCACCGTCTCACCGTGTCACCGTCTCACTGTGTCACCGTCTCACCGTCTCACCATGTCACCGTCTCACCGTGTCACCGTGTCACCGTGTCACCGTGTCACCGTCTCACCGTGTCACCTTCTCACCGCGTCACCGTGTCACCGTCTCACCGTGTCACCGTCTCACCGTCTCACCGTGTCACCGTCTCACCGTGTCACCGTCTCACCGTGTCACCGTGTCACCATCTCACCGTCTCACCGTGTCACCGTGTCACCGTGTCACCGTGTCACCGTCTCACCGTCTCACCGTGTCACCGTCTCACCGTCTCACCGTCTCACCGTGTCACCGTCTCACCGTCTCACCGTGTCACCGTCTCACCGTCTCACCGTCTCACCGTCTCACCGTCTCACCGTCTCACCGTCTCACCGTCTCACCGTCACCGTCTCACCGTCTCACCGTCTCACCGTCTCACCGTCTCACCGTCTCACCGTGTCACCGTCTCACCGTCTCACCGTGTCACCGTGTCGCCGTCTCACTGTGTCACCGTGTCACCGTCTCACCGTGTCACCGTGTCACCGTCTCACGGTGTCACCGTGTCACCGTCTCACCGTGTCGCCGTGTCACCACAGAAGCGCCCGGGCGCTCGCCAGCGCTTCATCACCGAGGTGAACACGACGGCACGCTCGTGCCTGCTGTGGGGCCTCGAGGCTGGCAGTGACTACGTGGTGGCCGTGCAGGCGCTGGGCCGCGGCGGGGCGGCCAGCGAGCCCAGCCCCGGCCTGCGCTTCAGCACCCCCCTCGCAGAGGAGGACGGCGAGCGCGACAACTCCTCGTCGCGCTCATCCTCGTCGCGCTCGTCGTCGTCGTCGTCCGAGGTGGCGGTGGCGGTCACCTCGTCCCTGGCGTCGCACGGAGGAGGTGCGGTGGTGCGGCTGGGCACGCGACGGGCGTGCTGGCCACCCAGCCCGCTCCGTGTGCCGTGCTGGCCTTCGTAGCTGCTGCTGCTGCTGCTACTCGCTTACGGCACTTTTCCGAACGAGTCTGTTAAGGTTATACGTCGGCGGGGGGATCTTTTGTCTTTGTTCCAGAGGCTGGATTGGGTGTCGGAGACAAAGCTCGCTACTTTGCGAGTGAGGGTGTGCTTACGATCACGGTCTTCCTCCTCTGGATTGGTGAGGAAATGCAAACGTTTTTGGGATGTGTGTTTGGGACTTTGTGTTTTTTTGTTTACCGGTATGAAACGGGAGGTTGTGAAGATGTTCAAACACCGAATCGATACCTATTGCCAGGCATCATCTGTGGCTAAATATGCAGACAAACACGCTCGGATAATGAAATGCATGCTTCGTCTTTGCAACCGATTGCCCTTACACCAGGGACATCCTCCTTCATGGCTTATTCTCACCGCCGGTGTTCGACCGGAGAACAACACCAAATGGCGAAAAGTACAAAGGCAACTTTTTTTTTTAAGTTGGGGTTTCATAATTGCCAGGGTCAGGGACACTGAGCCAGCACAGCTAAGGTCAAGAGGTTGAGTCGTGAAATCCGCAGTGTGTCTCTCCCAGGGGCTCATAATAAACTAAAAACTACGAAACAAATTTTTATTTTTACCAAGTAAGGCCCACGAAGGTGTATAGCTCCTTTTGTATCAGAAGCGACCTAGCCACAAATTAAAACCCACCGAAGTGATCTATCACGTGGAAATTCATAGCGGCCACATACTCTGACTGAATGTTGTAGAACATCTACACAACCACGGGGAGAGAGACACACACATACGCAAACTCCAAATATACAGCTAGTGGTCAGGGTCGAGATTGAACCCACGATCTCATGTATACCAGGCGAGGTAGTTAACAGCTCCTAGCCACCGTGATGATGATGAGAGAGAGAGATACGCAAACTCCAAATATACAGCAGCAGTGGTCAGGGTCTGGATTGAACCCACGACCTCCTGTACACCAGGCGAGGTAGTTAACATCTCCTAGCCACCGTGATGATGATGAGAAAGAGGGAGATAGAGACACGCAAACTCCAAATATACAGCAGTGGTCAGGGTCGATATTGAACCCACGACCTCCTGTATACCAGGCGAGGTAGTTACGATCTCCTAGCCACCGTGATGATGATGAGAGAGACACGCACACTCCAAACATACAGCAGCAGCAGTGGTCAGGGTCTGGATTGAACCCACGACCTCCTGTATACCAGGCGAGGTAGTTAACATCTCCTAGCCACCGTGATGATTATGAGAGAGAGACGCAAACTCCAAATATACAACAGCAGTGGTCAGGGTCGGGATTGAACCCACGACCTCCTGTGTACCAGGCGAGGTAGTTAACATCTCTTAGCCACCGTGGCGCCCCAGTGACCATGTCAGAGCTGTTGTGAGTGAAGTAATTGTGTCTTTGTGTGCGAACCCGATCACCCGAGTTCGATTCCCGTTCACATCAGTGATGATTACCCGAATTGGCCATGGGCCACCCCTAGGTCGATTCAGCCTCAATTGAGTACCTGGTGCGGTATGTAAACATCGCCATCGTGAATGGTGCTGGCCACCCACCCCTCTCGTGCACCATGCCGGCCTTTCACAGATATCTCGCGACCAGAACTTGCCCCAAAAAGTCTGCAGAGGCTATACGGGGGCCTCCCCTGAGTCTATTCAGCCAGACAACTGAGCATCTGCTGTGGCTTTAGTAATATCAGCGCTAGAGAGACAAAGGCGGCCGGGCGGGCGTAGTTTTCCCTGGCCACCCCCCCCCACATGCGCCGTTCCGGCCTTCATTCATCGGCACTCACTTACCAGCACTTGTCCCCGACAGTCTGTGCAGGCTATACGGGGGACCTTTGCCTTTAGTGGGTATAGGTGGTGGTGGTGGTGGCGGTCGTGGCCACGAAACGTAGTCCTTGTGCGTGCGCGTGTGTAGCAGTGATGGTCCTCTGCTTGCGCGAGTACCGCACCATCAAGGACAGCTCCATTCTTCACCACGGCGGCATGGTGAAGCCTGCGCTGGGGGAGCGGGGGAGCGCCATCCTCCGCAAGCCGGACACCCCCATCGCTACGGCGCAGGCAAGATGATGCCATCGCTGGGGTGGTGGTGATGGTTGTGGTGATGATGGGAGATGGTTGTAGTGATGATGATGATGGAGATAGTTGTGGTGATGATGGTTGTGGTGATGATGATGATGGAGATGATTGTGGTGATGATGGTTGTGGTGATGATGGGGGATGGTTGTAGTGATGATGATGGAGATGATTGTGGTGATGATGGTTGTGGTGATGATGGTTGCAGTGATGATGATGGAGATGATTGTGGTGATGATCATTGTGGTGATGATGGGAGATGGTTGGAGTGATGATGATGATGATGATTATGATGGAGATGGTTGTAGTGATGATGGTTGTGGTGATGGGAGATGGTTATGGAGATGATTGTGGTGATGATGGTTGTAGTGATGATGGAGATGATTGTGGTGATGATTGTGGTGATGATGGGAGATGGTTGTAGTGATGATGATGATGATGGAGATGGTTGTGGTGATGATGGGGGATGGTTGTAGTGATGATGATGGAGATGATTGTGGTGATGATGGTTGTGGTGATGATGGTTGTAGTGATGATGGAGATGATTGTGGTGATGATGATTGTGGTGATGATGGGAGATGGTTGGAGTGATGATGATGATGGTTGTGATGATGATGGTTGTGGTGATGGGAGATGGTTATGGAGATGATTGTGGTGATGATGGTTGTAGTGATAATGATGGAGATGATTGTGGTGATGATGATTGTGGTGATGATGGGAGATGGTTGTAGTGATGATGATGATGATGGAGATGGTTGTGGTGATGATGGTTGTGGTGATGATGATGATGGAGATGATTGTGGTGATGATGGATGATGGTTGTAGTGATGATGATGGAGATGATTGTGGTGATGATGGTTGTGGTGATGATGGTTGTAGTGATGATGATGGAGATGATTGTGGTGATGATGATTGTGGTGATGATGGGAGATGGTTGGAGTAATGATGATGATAATGGAGATGGTTGTGGTAATGATGGTTGTGGTGATGGGAGATGGTTATGGAGATGATTGTGGTGATGATGGTTGTAGTGATAATGATGGAGATGATTGTGGTGATGATGATTGTGGTGATGATGGGAGATGATTGTAGTGATGATGATGATGGAGATGGTTGTGGTGATGATGGTTGTGGTGATGATGATGGAGATAATTGTGGTGATGATGGTTGTAGTGATGATGGGGGATGGTTGTAGTAATGATGATGGAGATGATTGTGGTGATGATGGTTGTGGTGGTGATCGTTATAGTGATGATGATGGAGATGATTGTGGTGATGATGGTTGTGGTGATGATGGGAGATCGTTGTAGTGATGATGGAGATGATTGTGGTGATGATGGGAGATGGTTGTTGTGGTGATGGTTGTGATGGGAGATCGTTGTCGTGATGATGATTGTTGTGGTGATGGGAGATGGTTATGGAGATGATTGTGGTGATGATGGGATATGGTTGTAGTGATGATGATGATGCAGATGATTGTGGTGATGTCGATGGTGCTGGTGGAAGTTGTGATCGTCTTAGTATTAGTGATGGTGCTGGTTGAGATGATGGTGACGATGCTAAGATTTATGGTAATGACGATTGGAGGGGTGATGATGATGCTGACTATTAAATATTGCTAATTTTACTTTTGCTTTACACCCATTTAAAATCGTCAGATTGTGAGATTGCTAAATATTAAATGGTTCTGAGCGTAGCACTGCAGCCACTGTCAAAGTATAATTAATGAAATATGAATAATTTATATACCATTTTAAATTAACGCAAGTCAGCTATAAGTTGTTTAGAGTTTAAATGTCACGTTTTACTAATGTGTGCGTGTGTGCGCGTGTGTGCGTGTGCATGCACGGCTGCATGTGTCCGTCTCTGTACACACGTGTGCAATGCGTGTGTGCGCGTGCGTGCATGTGCAAGTACCTGTGTGCATACATACGTATGTGTTTGTACATGCATGCATGTGTCTGCGTGCGTCCGCGTGTGTGTACGTGTACGTATCTGTATGTACGCGTGCGTGTGTATGTGTACCGTATGTTTGCGTGTGTGTATGTATTTATGTACGTGTGTGCTCGTGTCTGGGTATGCACGTGTGCCTGCGCGTGTGTGTCCTCTTGTGAATTTCGCAGCCTCGGAGGAATTCCCATAGCCCCCGCGTTTCGAATGTGTGACTCACATCGAAAATCGACCACTCAGCCGGGTGAACAGTGTTCATGCGAAGAGGGGTTCATAATGGCCACGTCAGACACTTAGCACCACCAGCAGACCAACGAGCCACCATCAATGATCATCACCATCATTATGGTCATCAGCACTGCCACTATTAGAATGAGAACCACAACCAACACTAACGTAATTTTCATCATCATCATCATCAACATCGCAACCATCACGATTCCCATCATCATTCTCATCGTCACAATGAGGACCCCCATCGGCAGGCTCATCGTCGTCATCAAAAGGAAAAAGTAGAGATTTTTAGAACGCAAAAAATATATAAACTCATCCATTCACGATACTGCATCAACTTTATTACATTTTTTCAAATTACATTTTTTATCTAGAATAAAGGTTTTATAAACATTTTTTTTTTGCACGGACGTATTCCGGGATGTGAAATTTATTGCTTGTTTTGAAAGTCAGTGCTATGGACTTTGTGGTGTACCATGATCTTAAACAATAGCGCTCACATATGGAAATATACAAAACAAAACATCGAACAATAATAAAAAATACAACAACTCACAGCCGCCGTCCATCCACTGCTGGATGAAAAGCCTCCCCCATGCCGCGTCGGCCATGGGATTCGTACAACCATACTTCGCCGCGCTGGTCGACGCGCGTGTTGGCGAAGGCTCCGTGGGGGTGTTCGCAGGCTCGGCAATCACGCCCCAGCGTTCGGCCGTGGCGGGGGAATCCAACTTTTAAAAAAAAAAAAAATAAACTTGATCCACCCAGGCGGGGGAAATAAACACGCGATAGAAAATTAGACGCGCAGTGCACGGCGGGTCCTCGCTTCGACGCGTGGCGGTGTCCACGCGGCGCTGTGCTTACGCCACGACGGCCGTGCTTCCACCTTCGGGAGCGCTTCGCGCGCCGCTGTGGTGCCGAACACGTGCCCGTTATAACGCGGTTTCCGAGTGGTCGACGGGCTTCTTTCCTGAGCCGCGCCGCTAGCGAGCGCTGGTAGCGATAGAGCTCGCGGAATGATGCAGCGGCAACAACGCGGTGGCGACGTGCCGCCGTCTCGCCCGTGTCCTCGCCAAACTTTATCGTTATTGCGTCGCTCGTGGGGGGTGGGGGGGGGGAATAGTTTACGCTTGAAACGCGTTTTTCGCTTCATGCGGCACTTTTCGAATGCATCTGCTACGACGGCTGTACTCGGAACGGGTCACGTTCGACATCGTGGCTGCGTGGCACAGCGGTGAGAGCGCTCGCCCCTCAACGATGAAGGCCGCGAGTTCAAATCCCGGTCGCAGAATGATGGAACGTATTATTAAATAACGTGGGATAATTTCATCACACTTAAGTTAAGTAACGTTAATTACAATAATGACGTGATTTACAATTAATTCCCCCAGAAAGAGCATCGCTGAATCTCACGAGATTGTTTGCAACAGGGCCCTGCTGCATTCAGATGTTGGGCCAATTTCACTTAATTCGTGGAAAGAAAAAAAATACCATTAATTTTTGCGTCACAATTATTAATTGACGTGTTTAAAATGTCGGGAATGTCTCCCCCCTCCCCCTCCGCCATAGGGAGATTCAAGATGCATTTGTGCAGGAAACTCAGAAGTTAATACAAATCTGGTATGGATGGGGGTTTTTTGTTGTTAATTGCTTAAAATGAAATCGCTTAAATTAAAACAATCGTCTTGGGGATTGTCGCATCATATTAACACAAATTAGAATAATTATGACAACGTATGAATCGTAACGTTTTGACCCGGCTTAGATTTAGGAGTGTAAGCGTGAATGCATACTGTATACGCAGGTACATGTCACACACAAGGACACGTCCCAGGCTTCAGGCAGGCAGGGTCCCGTCATGGAAACGGGGAATTTTTTTTTTTAAACATTCTCCACATCCAGGCCATCATGCGCTGCGCCCGACTTGAGCTCCCGCTTATCGTAACCTGAAACTACAAGCGCATTGATTTCGCTGTAATCACGAACAAGTTCACAGTTCTGCTGTAGGTGTTTTTTTTTTGGGAGGTTTTGTTAAAAACGAGAGATAGGTGTTTGGAAAAAGAAAACACAGACTCTTGGTCATATCTACAGGAACCTTGCACATCTGCGCGTCAAGGTCGTCGAATGAACTCCATTTTTTTGCGATCCATCAAATGTTCTCAAAAACTGTACAAGGTTAAACGGGTTTAAGGGTCAAAGAAGGTCAAAGGTCATGTTTGTAAAGAAAATTCAAATGCACAGGCAGGAGGAGTGTGTCTGTGTGTGTGTGTGCGTGTGTAGGGTTGCCACTTGAGTTGTGAAAAAAATCCCGGGGCAGATCACGTGATGAAAAAGACTTATCTCACGATCGCGAAAAGAGGAGAGAGCTCTCTGTAAACGCATCGTCTTGAGTGGTGGATCATCATCACCATCATTACTACGACGATGACAAAAACCGGGACTTTTAATGTCACACCCACTCACTCGCCCGACTCACCCACTCGTACTCATCCACTCACTCGCCTCTCAACTTACCCACTCTCACCTCATCCATCTACCCATCCACTCACCCATCCACTGACCCACCCACTCACTCGCCCATCCGCTGACCCACCCAACCCACTGACGCACCCACCCACCCACCCACTCACCTATCCACTACATGTGAACGCATTGTCTCGAGTGATGCGTCACCATCATTGTCACGATTGCTATTCATTACGCCATTGACAAACACCGGGACTGGTAATGTGCCGGGAAGACTTCGAGATGTCCCAGGAGCAGCAACGGCCTCACTCGACAAAGAGGAAGGTCGCTGGGGAATACCGGGGCGGGTGGCAACTCTACCGTGCATGTGTGCGTGCGTACTTCATGGATTGTTGTACACAATGGTTAAATACTTCTTAGTTCAAATCAAATATGCATTTGGCCATTGTTTTCACCCCCCCCCCCCTCTTCTCAAAAATGCAGGATAATTGTGCATGCGTGTGTTTTTATATATATACAGAGCGTAGACCCCCATCCATAGTCTTCCCCCTGGGTGGGCATGGCTCTCGGGATGCAGTGTAAAAGGTCCCGGCCGGGGTTGGATCCCGCTAAATGCCGAGGCATTATTGCTGCGGCTGCGATCATCGCCACCGCTGGATTGAAATTTGAACACGACTACCCCCCCGTTTATCCGCTGCCACGTCCAAAGCCAGCCCGGGGCCATCATGGAACGTGTGTGTGTGTTTTTTTTTTTCCATTGGGCCTGGTTTGCCGAGCCGAGCACAGAAACCAATTGGCGACACGCTGCTGGCCTCACGAGAAGACTTCTGAAACTGGCGCCAGGTGGGCGAGGTTGGGATGGGGGCGGGGGAGTGGGGCGGAGCCAAGCAGGGGCGGGGCTAACGACGCGTCTGTTGCGTGCGACGTCACTCGGGGGCACACTGCGGCGGTGCAGCGTCATGGCACGGCGATTGGCGTAGGCGAAAAAAAAAACCGTGGCGCCTACCGGGCCAGCCCGGCATGGCCCCGGCACGGCACGGCACGGCCACCTAGCACTGGTCAGCTGTGCAGTGGAATAAAAAACAGAAAGGTAGGGAATTCGGAGCAGCCCGTGGAAACGGAAATCGCGCCAGAGAGTTGAGGCCGCCTCCTCAGCTCGGCAGCCAGCTCGGGCTGCCCGATTGGTCAGCCCTTGGGTAAATCCACTGCTAGAACGAAAGCCCGTCGAAGTACATCTCGGGCCATAACCGTGCCACCTCAATCCCATCTCAGACGATTCTAAGGGCACCCCCGGCGGCAGCCGTCCCTGTTTGGCGCCAGGCGACTTCCGCAACCGTGTGGGGGGGGGGGGGGGGGGGGGCGTGGAGGTCGCCGTGTTGCGATCGCATTCCAAGTTGTTGCGTGGCATCTTTTTTTCACAAATTTGGCAAAACGCCGACGGCGACGTCCGACACACGGTGGCCTCCTCGTGTCGAAACGGCGACGTTCCGGGGGACCTTTAAACGCCCAACGCGACGCGGACGGCACGTGCACGCTACGCGCTTAACACGCGTGCGCTACACGGTCGACCGAGGCGGGCCCCACCGGGTTCGACACCGCAAATCTCTGCAACGAGCAGGAACATGCACTCTCCTGCTGGGCCAGGTGTGGCGGGACGACACGGGAAAAACAACGTGTCCAGCTTTCTGGGCGGGTCCAGCGATCGCGGACCAGCCCTGCGAAAGTAAAACACCCACCCACCCACCCCCCCCCCCCCGCCCCCCATTAATTAAGCGATATCCGTTACGCTCGTACGGCGGAGTCGCGGAAGTGCCCCCCCGCCCACCGCTACTGTCCACGTGTGCGGAACAGACGTCACTTTCAAAAGCTCTCCGAGGTAGCTCTGCGATGTCCACTTGAGCGGATTCCATTCTCTAACAATACGGATTTGGGGGGGGGGGGGGGGGGGTGGGGTGAGGGTGAGAACAGCAGGAAGGCAGGGGTGGCGGTCACACCCCGCTGCTAGATTTCCCGACGGGGATTCCGCGTCTCGCCGCGGGCGGCGCGACGTGCGGCAATCGGGGGTCGACAGGAGAACGATCAAATTACTGACGGGGAAAGGAAGCGTCGGCGAATCGCGAATCCACGGCTCTCCTTGCGCGCTCTCTCGCTCCCCGCTCCTCCCCGCTCCCCTCGGGTGTCGCGTTGCCTGGCTCACGGGGATCACTCCTCTCCCCCCCCCCCCCCCCCACCGAGGAGGTCAAACTTCGATGATGTTGATCGTTGGCGTCTTTGTGTACTGCGCACGGGACGGGACACGGAGACAAACACCGGCGCGGTCAGCGGCGCGCGACGCACGCAAGACCGATGGGATGAAAAGTCACCATCGGCCGCTTTCCACGATACAAGTCCTCTCCAAGCCGTCGCCGCCAACGTCTCGCGAACCCCGCGATCTGCCGCCCAGCATCTGTTCTACGCGCGAGGAGCTGACGTCGTCGTCGTCGTCATCGTCATCATCGCTCAATCCCCTTCGTGGATGTCCTCCTTCGCCTACCGTCCCGTTATTAGTCTCGACCATCTTGGCCATCGTCATCATCTCTCGTCCCCATTGTGGCCATGACGCGTGCTGTCCCCCAAGCCCCGCTCATTCCTCCTAACAGATTGGATGGTGGCGATGATGTTATTAATCTCGTGGAGGAGCATAAAACCATCACGCAAAGTCCAGTCATCCGCGCAGCAGCGGCTTTTGTCTGGCCATCGAACAAAGACGGTCACCGCATTGCGTGCATTCAGATGCTCCTTCTTCGGACGTCTGGAACGCTCTTCTGATATCAGGAAGACACTGGAGCTACGCACTTTTAAGTCATCGTCTCGATTGAAAACGAATTTCTTTAAAACTGCTTTTTGTCTTTAGTTTGTTGTCATTCTCCCCCCTGCACCTCCGATTAGCACGGTTGGCTAAGTACGGTGCGACATAAATTCAACGTGGTGTTTTTTTGAACCCACATGTTCCTCTTTTTAATGGAGTTCCCTCCATGTTTATTTAGCCATGAAATTCTAACGTTATATTTAAAATTTGTATATATTTTTTTTTACCAAATGTGCGAAACTAAACGTTTGTGTCGTCAGCGGTGACCCGGCTGAGACCATGAGACTCACTCCGCTTGAGAACACGGCCTCGTCACGGGTGACTGAACCCCGGGGTTCAAACCCAGGCTCTTAGTGGTGCGTGCCGTTTGAGTGACGTAAAAGTCGCCCAGGCCCGGAACTCAAACCCCCTGCAATTCAAAGATTACTGACGCAGAATGTTAAGAAGCACCCAGACCCAAGGCTTGAACCCAGGATCTCGCAGATTCCTGGTTTTGTATACAGAGGGATACCCATGGCTCAAACCCATATCATCATAGATTATGGGTTCACTGTCTTGATAGAGACCGATTGCCCTGGCCCTCATATATTGCCAGCTGAAGTCGGACCAATATTTGTATTTACAATTATAAATACATGTTTGGGTTAGACCGCTCTGGACAAATCTGTGCAGTAAGCCCCTCCACCACCCAACGCAGCAAACTAACCGGGTGATTCTGAGCCGATATAATAGCGCGTGGACAATGTGTGGCAACTTCGTTTGTTTGGCCTGGCTGGGTGGTGGAGGGATACACGACACCAATGTATTTGGCCAGATTGTTGCGTGGTCTAAACAAAAAAAATAAAAATTACGAATCGTGCCACAGTAATAATACCCGGAGTTACATGTCCCCCTTTAGCGTCATTTCGCAGGTACGTCGTCACTTTATCATTATTATTAATGCTACTACACTCACGTCGCTGACAGCATCATCCATCCTTTCCCGTATCCGTCGCCTCTCAGCCTTCACCTCCACCACCGTACTACCCCAAGAATCGTTTTTGATTTACGTCGTTTCGATATTCACTGTCCCATTAGCGCAGTTGGCTACGTACGTTGCGCAAGTCCAGCATACATTCACCGTTGCACCTTTCAGGAATGCATCCCCAGCGTAAACCGGGGCTGTTACCGAACCGACAGCGACAACATATGCATTAACATACGCGTTTGACCTTCTGATAAGAACAATCTATTTTATTTCCTAAAAAAATCAACGGCCAAAACAAACGTGACCCCCTGCGTGTGTCCAAATCATTACACCGGCGTCGCTAATTACTAATTAAGGCGGTCGCCACCTCGGTGACGTTCGCCGTTAATGCCCAGAATTATTTGTTGGTGGGCGCGGCAGGGGAGAGAGAGGGGGGGGGAGCACCGGACCATCGACAATACGGCTAACGAGGTTACTCGATATGATCGTTAAAATGTCGGCGACCCCACCCCACCAACCCCCCGTGACCCTGTCCGGTGCAGGAAGGGTCGCGTGGATCCATCGCGGAGCGAGGCCCCCCCCGTCCTGCGGAATCCCTTCCCCGCGTCATTAACGACCATTAAGTAAATTGGGAATGCATTAGCACGCTTGTTTCGGTGCGGATTCTATTACAGCGCATGGATTTTTATGTTTTGTCTAGCTTCATATTGGCAGCACGGACCATTACATGAATCATCGCGCATGTACATGTATACAATTCCATATATATACACACACACACACAATTTATATATTCTGTATAATGCGTTGTGGCGGCATCATGGCCAGGCGATAGTGCATTTGGCTGTTGCAGCCAGGGGATCTAGCAATGCATTCGCAGGCTTGTATGTGTGTGTGCGTATTATATTAGAGAAGCATGGACTTTATTGGTTCATTTAAAACAAAATTGTGGAGCTTCGTGTTGGCAGCACGGGCCATTCCGTGAATTATCGCGCATGTATACAATTCCATGTGCGTCTGTGTGTGTATATATATAAAAAGATAAAGACAAAGACCCCTCCCCACCCCCCCCCCCCCCCCCCACCCCCGTATAGCCTTAACAGATTGCTGGGGCAAGTGCTTTTAGCGGGGCATCTATGCTATGAAGGCCGGCACGGTACACGAGGGGGTGGGTGGCCAGCACCACGCCCGGCCGCCTTTGTCTCCCTAGTGGCGATGTTTACACACCGCACCAGGTACTCATTTGAGGCTGAGCCGACCTAGGGGAGGCCCAGAACCGGTTCAGATAATCGTTACCGGGGTGTTTTGCCGTGAGCGGGAATCGAACCCGGGTCGCCAGGTTCGTAGCGCAGCGTAGCGCTAACCGCTGCACTACCGCTACCCACACACGCACACGCACGCGATCACACACAATCACATTTCCCATAGTACCGTGTGCAGCTCCATGGAAGTAAAGCTCACCATTTGCATTCAGGGCTGCACGACTCGGAATTTGCGTCCGTGCGCACAAAGAGACCCCAGGTGGCCTTTACAGACTGTTGTGGGACACGTGCCGTTTGCGAACAGCACCTACGAATGCCGGCACGGCACCGCACGAGGGGGTGGGGTGACCAGCCACCACGCCCGGCCACCTTTGTCTGGCAAGTGGCGGAGTTTGCACAGCGCAACAGGTTACTTATTTTGGGCTGAGGCGACCTAGGAGAGGCTCAGGACCGATTCAGAAAGGCGTCGCTGGTGTTGGCCGTGAGCGGGAATGGAACTCGGGTCGTCTGGTTCGTAGCGCAGCGTAGCGCTAACCGTTGCACTACGGGGCCGTCCATAAATGACGTCACGCGATTTTGGACGATTTTTGACCCCCCTCCCCCCCTTCGTCACACGGCGTCACAAAAAGTCAGACCCCCCCCCCTCAAATATGACGTCACAAAGCTCTGCCCCCCCCCACACACAAAAAATATAAAAAATATGCTTCAAATGGCTTTAAACTATTGTCATTGTAGCGCGTATTTAATGTGGCGCTGCACTCTGATGTTGTAGGAGAACACATTCATTAAAAAGTCTATTTTATTAAGTAGAACGTGTTGTCTATATTTATTTAAAGTTGCGCATTTTGATGTGACGTCACATTTCTCAAACCCCCCCCTCCCTCGTCACAAATGTCTGACCCCCCCCCACCCCACCCCCCCCCCCCCCCAGGTGCGTGACGTCATTTATGGACGGCCCCAAAGTAGCGCAGCGCGCTAACCGTTGAACTACTGCTCCCCATACAGACAGACACACGTGCACACACACACACACAAAGATCACCCATATAGCCTAAACAGGCTGTTGGGGCAAGCTGTCATAGAGCATCTACTGTAAGCGTTTCACGGTGGCCTAGAAAACTTGACCAGATCGATGGGGAGATATTTAGGAGGCCAGCCCATTCAAGGTGTCCTTGAGAAGCGGAATCTTAAAGTCGATTCAGTACTTTACAGGCAGCCAGTGCAGCGGCGAAAGAATGGAAGGAAGATGGTCATGCCCTTTAGATTTGGTTAAAACCTGGGTTGCCGAGACTTTTCTTGTACATATTGTGATCTATTTAAAACACTTTTAGAAACGCCAGCAAAGCGAGGCATTGCAGGTATCGAAACGAAGGCATGCACCAGCCTCTCGTCATTCGGAAGAGAGACAGCGTGAGTCTCAGGTCGAGCCGTTACGTAAAATGAAAGAACGAGATTTTGGTGATATTACGCACGTAGGCTTCAAATGTCAAACCGAGGTCGACGGCAACAGCCAGCATTCTGACCGCAGACTTACTTACTCCTATAATAAAGGTTTTTGGGTTAGATCACGTTATTTATAAATGTGTCGTAACCCTCCACCACCCGCGACGGCCAAACAGTAAAAAATGTGTCACGTTTACAAAGGACAAATAGTTCACTACTTTAGCCCACAGGTGTGTTGAAGAGTGAATCAACATCGTTTAAAATTTGAGTACGACGTTTCGCTGGTAATTACATCCAGCATCATCAGGGAATTCGCCAGAATGGTAAAGCCCTCACTTGATCCCGGTCTTAAATAGAGCAGCAGGGTGACGTCATCATTTAACTCATTCAGGTGCAGTGATTTGAGGCAGAGGGGGAGGGTATTGTAATTATATAATCGATTGGTAATCAGTCAATGGTTATGATTAGTAATGAGTTGTAGATTAGTAATTAGTTGTAATGTGTGTTATTGTGATTATATGCTACGTTAGTAATCCGTTAAATTATGTTGATTCACTCTTCAACACACCGGTGGGCTAAAGTAGTGAACTATTTGTCCTTTGTAAACGTGACACATTTTTTTACTGTTTGGCCATGTCGGGTGGTGGAGGGTTACAACACATTTATAAATAGCGCGATCTAACCTAAAAACCTTTATTATGAATAATATTAGTCGCGAAAGCCTGCCTACGTGTTAAACTTACTTACTCCTTAATTCTATTTCGATTTAAAGCTTTCGTGACTGCAAGGATTAATCTTCTTTGGTTTTATTCGGTAAAGTCACTTAGGTAGATTTTGGCTGTGACTGGTCCCACCTGAAGACGGAAGCTTGCGTTGCCTCCGAAACGTCGTGTTTTAATTGTCTATTTTATTTTATTTTTAATTCGTTTTACCTTTAATTACTCCTCTTCGGTCCCTGTGGAGCACTAGGCCGCAACAAGCCCACACGATGCCGGACGGTCTTTAGCGGCTTTCTCTACGAGACTTTTGGACCTCAGGAGGAAGACCAAATTACAGTCCCACCCGTGGCCATTCGCAAACCATCCAATTTATGCCCCTTGATGTGGAGAGCCAAACAACATCATCTTGTCGCAACTGGTGCTTAAGAAAGCTGAGGTGCATCCACGACTTGACCTCAGCAAGGTCACGTTGACCTCCCCCAACTTGTGTGCAAACACCTTAAACATAACCGCATGGCTGACGCACAAGCGAACCGCCCTTAACAGACGATGACAGAGCGCCCTGCAGGTGACGCGAGAGTGAGGCCTACCGAGGGCTGTTCCTTGCCTGTGATGGAATTCTCCACGGCCTACTTGCTAGCAAGCGAGACCCACATCCAGGGCTTGAACCCAGGTACAATGCTCAGCGGTGTTGGCTCAAGAGTCACCGACAGGGGCCATTATGAACCCGGTGAGAACTACACCGAGGCTGAGGATCTTGGCGTTGACCACAGCTAAGTAGCTGTGCTGGCTTTGAGTGTATCCCGACCTGGCCATTATGAACCCCGCCCGGTTCGGCTACCTTGCCGCGCTTGATGCTGTCCTCGGAGCGGTCTGGAGAGCTCTCGCTGGAGGAAATCTTCACCTTCTCCTTGCTCTCCTTTGAGTCGTTGTCCTTGATGATGTCATACTGGCGGCAGAAGTGGGCGATGACAGCTGGGGGAGGTGGGGGGGGGACAGAGGGGGGGGGGGGGGACAGTGGTGATGATTGTGGTGGTGGTGGTGGTGGTGATGATAGTGTGGAGAGAGGGAGTGCAGTGGTTAGCGACCCGAAGTTTGATTCCCGATCACGGCAAACATCGGTGATGATTATCTGAGCGAGTTCTGGGCCTCCCCTAGGTCGAGTCAGCCTCAAATGAGTACCTGGTGCGGCGTGTAAACATCGCCACCGGGGAGACAAAGGCGTTCGGGCGTGGTGTTGGTCACCCACCCCCTCGTGTGCCGTGTCAGCCTTCTTGGGTGCTCGCTAACAGCACTTGCCCCTACAGTCTGTTAAGGCTACACTGGGGGGGGGGGGGGGGGGGGGGGGTCTTTGTATTTGGTGATGATAGCGTTGGTAAATCTGGCCTGAATAGCACCGCCAGGTGAGTGTGGCCACTCGCCTGGCTGCCTGGCAACTCACCTGGCGAATCAGCCACTCACCTGGCGAATCAGCCACTCACTTGGCGGTCCAGCCACTCACCTGGCGAACCGGCCACTCACCTGGCTGCGTGGCAACTCACCTAGCGAATCAGCCACTCACCTGGCGGTCCAGCCACTCACCTGGCGAACCGGCCACTCACCTGGCTGCGTGGCAACTCACCTGGCGAATCAGCCACTCACCTGGCGGTCCAGCCACTCACCTGCCCACATGACGAGCACCAGGACGATGATGATCATTTCTCCCGTCATGAGTTCCCGGTTGTCAAGAGCGTTCATCTGGACGTCCGATGCCCCTGGGAGGGAACATGCGGCGACGGAGAAGTAACCGTTCATGCACAGCCTCAGAACGACAAAGGTCAGCAAACAAACAGCACCATTGAAATTCAGAATTGATTTTTTTTTTCTATTTATTAACATGTATATTTTACCGACATTGCATCCTGGGTAACTCACGATGCCAATCACTGTTACCTTTGTAATTTGTGAGAGAGAGAGAGAAGCGAGCGCGTTTCCTTAATTGTCTGTGAGCACGTGCCCGCGTGCTCACGGACAAAGACAAAGGTCCCCCGTATAGTCTTAACAACCTTGTGGGACAAGTGCTGTAAGCGAGCAGCTATGAAGGCCGGCACGGCACGTGGGGGGCGGGGGTGCCCAGCACCTCGCACGACCGTCTTTGTCTCCCCAATGCCGATGTTTACAATACACCACGCCAGCTATTTATTGATAGCCGATTCGACCTAGGGAATGCCCAGATGAGGTTCAGAGAGACACGCAGACACAGGCACGCACACAGACCTACACACACACACACACAAATATTTCTGGATGACTTAAACACAGACACAGGCAGGCATACACAGAGGACAGGCGGACAGAAATAGGCAGACACAGATCACAGGCACAGACAGAGACACACAGAGAGACAAATACCATCCCCCGTACTCGTGGGGAGATAGCATCATCAGCGCTCCTTGCAGAGAACCTCAGCACTTAGCCAAATTACATGCAGCAGCAGCAACAGTCGCAGCAGCAGCAGCATCACCTTTTTTGTTTCACATTTGTAACATCATCGGGTACAAAGACGCGAGGCGATAGGCCCGTGTTCATCGAGCACGGCTTGCATCTGGCTCTCAAGTGAGCCAGGCCGGCTCACAGCCAATGCGCTCGCATACCGTGAGCCAGCCCCCTTACGTTCGAGCGAGCGGCGAGTCCGCCACAAGCCATGAGCCGGAGCCGCGAGCCCGAGTCACAGTCCAAGCCGCTCGTTCGTGCCCGAGGACGAGCCGTGTTGGAGCTGACCTCGAGCCAGGACTCGAGAACACGAGCCAAAGGATCAGTTTCAGCCTCCAATTGTTGTAGCGGATTCCTCCAATTGTTGTAGCGGATTCCTCCAATTGTTGTAGCGGATTCCTCCAATTGTTGTAGCGGATGCCTCCAATTGTTGTAGCGGATTCCTCCAATTGTTGTAGCGGATTCCTCCAATTGTTGTAGCGCTTGCCTCCAATTGTTGTAGCGCTTGCCTCCAATTGTTGTAGCGGATTCCTCCAATTGTTGTAGCGGATTCCTCCAATTGTTGTAGCGGATTCCTCCAATTGTTGTAGCGGATTCCTCCAATTGTTGTAGCGGATTCCTCCAATTGTTGTAGCGCTTGCCTCCAATTGTTGTAGCGCTTGCCTCCAATTGTTGTAGCGGATTCCTCCAATTGTCTCAGCGCATTCCTCCAATTGCTGTAGCGGATTCCTCCAATTGTTGTAGCGCATTCCTCCAATTGTTTCAGCACATTCCTCCAATTGTTGTAGCGGATTCCTCCAATTGCTGTAGCGGATTCCTTCAATTGTTGTAGCGAATGCCTCCAATTGCTGTAGCGGATTCCTCCAATTGTTGTAGCGAATGCCTCCAATTGCTGTAGCGGATTCCTCCAATTGTTGTAGCGGATTCCTCCAATTGTTGTAGCGGATTCCTCCAATTGTTGCAGCGGATTCCTCCAATTGTCTCAGCACATTCCTCCAATTGTTGTAGCGGATTCCTCCAATTGTTGTAGCGCTTGCCTCCAATTGTTGTAGCGCATTCCTCCAATTGTTGTAGCGCTTGCCTCCAATTGACCGACGACAACCGCCGTTCGCCAGGATGTGGCGGTGATGTTGCCGCCAAGTGGCGGGGGCGACATCCACCACGGTGCTCGTGCCGGGCTAAGTGCACCTTGAGGCCAGACAAAGTGTCAAAGGCTCTCCGCGTGCAGGAGGTCACGGAACACATCCAGGTGTTATGGGTTGACCGACTGGACGAACAAAGATCCCCCGTAGAGCCTTAACATGCTTTCGGGGAAAGTGCTGAGAGCGAGTATCACCTATGAAGGCCGGCAAGGCACACGAGGGGTTGGGCGGCCAGCACCACCATGTTTACACACCGCACTGGGTTCCTCGTTTGAGGCCGAGTCGACCTAGGGGACGCCCAGAACCGGTTCAGATCATCGCCACTGGGTGTTGGTGGCCGTGAGCGGGAACGGACCTCGGGTCGCCGGTTTGGTGGTACAGCGCAACGCTCAGCATGACGCGACCGCTCCCCAATACCAACACCTGTCATTCGCCACGTGACCACGGCGCCTGTGCCAGGCTAGGTGCACTTTGAGGCCACGTGAAGCGTCGAAGGCTCGCCGACGGCCAGACCCAGGTGCCATGGGTTGGCCGACTGGGATGATCGATAGATGGACCGGCTGTACCCACTACTGTGCCAACTTGCAGCATTTTAGCCGCCCGGCGCTCCGCTCGTTGTTGTGAGCGTCGCTCCTCCGCCCTCCGTTGTTGCTGGAGGGCGACTGCCTCCAACTGCCCAGTAGCAGCAGCGTCCTTCACGAGCCTCCTCCACAGAGGCCGATCTTGACACCGCTGGTACCAGTCGTCGGCAAGTCCACTCAGCTCCACGTCCTACCGTACCACATCACTCCATCTCTTCTCCAGGCAGTGTTGTGCCCATTTAGCCCCTCTATACGGCCAAACAGAAGCTGCTTGGGGCATGCGGTCAGTGGGCATGCGGTCGGTGGGCATGCTGGCAACGTGACCCAGCCAACGCAGCCTTGAAACATCTGAATGTGTCCAGATCTTTCAACGATTTGTGAGATCATCACGCAATCCAGCCTGGTTAAACCCAGGATGGATCGTTGTCAGGCCAGCCTACATGTTTCTAACCGGCGAAGATGTTCCATTAGAGGGGTCCAGGTTTCACAAGCGTAGAGAAGGGAGGGCATGACTGTGGCCGAGAAGACCTGAAGCTTTGTGCGGAGCGACAGACCAGGTAGCTTCCACACAGCGTTACGCAACCGATGAAAAGATAATTCTGCCCGACTGATTCGGAGTGAGACCTCTGCTGTCAAACCGGAGCTGGTCATGAGCACGCTGACCAGGTATGGGAAACTCTCCACTCTCTCCCACTACTGCTCCATCACCAATGGGGAGCTCAGGCGATTTTAGTTTTTCATAGCACAAAATACCCAGGAAGGTGCTTAGTTTTGGTGGGGCTGATGGTAAGACCCCACCTCTTCATGAAACACTTCAGGTTCAGCAGCAGTGCCTCCAACTCGCTCCCCACACAAAGATCCTCACGCAAAGATCCCCACACAAAGATCCCCCGTATAGCCTGAACAGACTGTAGGGGCAATGCTGTTAAGCGAGCGCCTCTGAAGGCCGGAACGGTACACGAGGGGGTCGGTGGCCAGCACCACGCCCGACCGCCTTTGTCTCCCCAGTGGCGATATTTAGACACTGCACCGGGTACTAATTTGAGGCTGAGTCATAGTTCTACAGTTTATAGTTCCATTTATTTGGTATAGCCCTGTGAGCCATTCGTATCTTGAATCGGATGCAACCGCAATAAAAAAAAACATGAACAAGAAAAACATCTTAAAGTGACTTTGTGTGACTGTGCAAACAGAAAATCCAGGAAAAAAACACCAAAATATTCCTGAAATAGCACCGTACACCAACGCTGTATGCAAAAATCCCAGTGGGATGCAAGTCAAACAACAACAACCACAAGACAACTAAGATTAAGGCCATCAGTCTAACTCCGTACTACAATAAACAAAATCATGGCCAAACCAAAAAACGTTTTAGAAATCACCAAAATAAAGCCATAAATGCAATGTAACAGTGATCATAGGGACTGTGACCGAATTTTTAACAATAAACTACGTAAATAACATGTAACACCAAACCCTAGAGCCATAGCTGGCTGCATGAGTCACTCCACAACACAGGAGCATCAGTCGGAGTATCACATTTTTCAATGCACCTTTAAGATCAGCACACTAAATCAAAATACAGATAATACTTTGCAGCGTCATCCGGAGCGAAACATTTTATTTTATTTTAGGCCACCGAATAGCAGTGGCAGCTAGGGGTGTACAACTCCTCTAGAGCAGTTTTGAGTGAAGATCTCATAGGTAATGATTCAAGTTGCAGTTTATTGGTAATAGCATTCCAGACCCTGGGGGCATCAATAACAAAGGCCCTTCCTCCGGTTTTTGTACGGCAATAGGGAATGTGAAGCTGGTAAATGAGCGAGGAGCTGAGGTCAAATTTGTTCTTTGAAACAGAGAGGACATCCAGCAGGTAGTCTGCGGATTTTTTTGTAAGTACATCGTGAATAAATAAGATCTGGTGCACAAGCCGTCGAACATTAAGAGATGTTAAGTTTGACCCAATGTAGAGATCACAGTGGTGAGTCCTATATGGGCAGTTCAATGCAAATCTTAAGGCCGAATCAAGCTTCTTCAGTACAGTACTTGGGGCTGATTTATACACGATATCACAGTAATCAAGTGGAGGCAGTATGGTATCTTTTATCAATTCCAAACGGAACATAGGGGGGAAGCAGTGCTTGTGTCGATACAGAAAAACAATTTTTATTTTTGTCTTTTTACCAATATAATCAGTGATCTTCAAAATTCAGGGGAGGCCCAGGACCCGTTCAAATAATCGTCACTGGTGTTGGCCGTGAGCGGGAATCGAACCTGGGTCGCCAGGTTCATAGCGCAGCGCGCGAACTGCTACACTACCGCTCCCCACACAAAGATCCCCCGTATAGCCTTAACAGTGCCTCCAACTCGCTCCCCACACACACCCACACCCATGCATTTCGTTAAGTGTTCTCATTCCATTAACATTGGGAGTGATTAATTTAGCGAGTGCTGCATGTGACGGAAATGAGCATGCCCGAGTAAAAAGCAGCTCTTAGTGAATCACTCAGGGAGGGGGAGGTGATGTGTGGGACACGTGGTGTGCAGCCTGCAGGTAGT